ATATATGAGTAAGCAGCAGTTATCTCCTGTCTTTAACAACAGAACTCGGGAGATTGTACTTGTTTTTGATTTTTTTTTGGGGAGAAATGCCGATGGAATGTAACTTGGGAGCTTTTCTGGGTCCACCTGTTTGCTCAGCTAGCTGTTTAAATTCTTTGTATTTTGTACAATATATGTTTCCTAAATATCGACAACCCCGATGTGTTAGTACAATGCGAGCTTTGAGGTCACCAAGCTAGGTGACTCAAGTGCTCGTTCTCGTCAGGCGCGGAGTAGCTGATGAAGACATACTGGAATTTGTGGAAAACGGGCTAGAAGTCAGTCATAGTTAATGTTGCCTTTGTACTTGACTTTGTGGGCGCTCTTGTGCAGTTGTCTAAGTAATATGTAAGAAGGCATCCGCGTCAGTGCGGGCATCCACGTCCACGAACGTGCGGGAATCTATATGTGCACGGCAGCAGGTGTTGGCAATGCGGTACTCTTGCTCGCCATTGGCAGAAGGTGTCATGACGACTGGGTGGATGTTTCTTCCCCTCGAGTGCTCTCTACTCACAGTGACCGGCTTCCCCGCCGGACTAGTCTTCATTGCATGCGGATGCATATAAGGTCCCGAGCCACTAGCTCACCGGAGTCTGTAGCAGAAAAGAACATCTGAAAGGCGGCAGGCTGCAGACAGCGGCGCCGGAGCTGGCTGGAGTGTAGCCTGATAGGCGGAGATGCACAGGAAGTCCTAACCCTACACTCGGGGTAGAATTACAATGTACGAGTCGCACTGGACACAATGCCTGGAATCAAGTGAATCACAGATCGATCGGTTACACCATTAAACCACAAGATTGGTATTACATGTATCCTGTACAGAGTAAAGCAAGGGTATGCATAGTCAACGAGGACCACCGACATAATATATCACAAGGACCGTCAAACATCGTACTAGCACTTATTACCCAATGGGTCTGAATCACAAGTCCTGGTCGCCTAGCGATTTCCAATCATCAATTTCATCTTCATCTACAGGATTATACGCTTCATCATCCGAAAAATACTGGCCTTCAAATGCCATACGCAACGCCGTGCTCGGGCTGAACAACGTAAACTTCGATTTCCCCAGGTGGACCTTGACCACCGAAAACATATATCCTTTCGGTGGCGAGTCGCTTCGTGCGCGAATTTCGTCAGCAATCTCTGGCCATATAGGATCCTCCCCAGGAAACTGCTCAAGCATGTGCACAGGGAGCACGTACATCTCTGGCGAATACACAGTCAGATCCACCATGAGCACGAGTTTATCGCTGAATGCAGGGAACTTCTGCTGTGCTTCACGAACGCGCGTTTCCACGTCTTTGGCCAGTCCAGAGATCTGAGTAGTTTCGAAGCCTGCAATGACTTGGAGACTGTTACGGATATCGGAGGAGCCCCACGGCCCTGTTTGCGATTCGATTGAGAAGCATGAGACAAGGACTGAAGGGACTCACCAACGGTGCACCTCAGAACTTGACACCACTTCCTGTGTCCATTGCGCCAAGCAGTCCTTTGGCATTTCTCTGAGCAATAGATTGATACCAAGCAGCCTGAGCACCGACGCTTTTTGCTGACAAACTTGGGTGTGCACATCGGACACTGACACATATATCAGCATCCACAAGATGGAACTAGAGATGATCAGCGTACTCCTGGACCGCTGCACCTGTATTCATAGAAGTTTATAGGTTCTACACTGCGATAGTCCATAGCATTGATAGTAGATGTCAGGACGATTTCGAGAGCAGCCCCCAACCCTTCGTCGCGTATCTCTCGTTTTTCCGTAGGATCATTGCGCATGCGAAACCAGTGTCGGAAAATTGATGCAACAACCCTGTGGTATATAAAAAATGTGGCGAGAAGGAAGAGTAACTCTATGTCACCCATGCGGCCACGGACGGGGCGATCACGACGGTGGGCGTGAGGCGGGCAAATAACACCCTTCTCCAACGTTTGAATAAGGCCAGCATCGATTGCCTGACATACACATGTTATTCCGTCATCTGCATCGCGAATAGCGGATGCAATGTACGAGTACCCCGACCACAGAACCTTCTGTCTACCTGCGAGTCCCAGCTGTGGATGAAGATCCAATTCCTCATTTGCTTGCACCAAGATCCTCGGCAAGATCTGAGTGATCGCATCCACCACTGTGCGAATTGAACCTTGGCGGATAAGCTGTTCGCGGCATGAAGGGTCTTGGCTACTGATAGTCTGGAGAAATTGGAATGAATAATTGAGACCAACAGTGTAGAGATGAAGTAGCTTGACGCTCGGATCGGAAACCGTCCACGATCGAGGTTCTTCCACAGCAGTAGCATCTCTGGTAATCCGACGGATGTATCTGAGGAGAGTGAAGACAACGGGCTTCACCCCTCCGGCAGCATGTATAAAGTTCGATAAAGGAAGGGTGATTTTGTCTGGATGTTCAGATTCAGATACGCACACATAGTTTGTTAGCGCAAAAGACGCCCGGAGCTTAGAAACGAGGCCATCTTTGGTAGTTCCAGGGTCGCCTTGGAGTACTTCTCCTTTAAGGTTCCCTACTAATATCCTTAACTGCGCGGCGAAGTGCTGAACAGAAACAGAAGAACGGAGTAAGTGACGCCCTTCTTCCGATTTGGTGCAGATCAATGAGAGCGGACTGATGGTTAATTTTACAGCATCGGACACACTGCAAAGATCGGGGCGTGGAGGAGTAACTGAGACATCATAAGGAGGAGGGAGGCAATTTTGAGCGAAGAACCACATCCACGGGTATGTTTTGTCCCACTTCCTCACAATATACTTTGTCACAGCGTCGTCCCTGCCATAAGAAGGTAAAGAGCTGGCAAGCGTGCTGATCGTCACCAATCCCAAGAGAGCATACTTCGCGCGTATGATGGCAGGAATAGTCTTGGGATTGATGTATTTTGGTACTTGAACTGAATTAAGCGTCGCGTGAAAGATGGGCACCAAGCAACAAAAACGGGAAGGGGAAGATTTGGAGATCGAAAGAGTTATAAACTCAACCAGCCTTGCGAGATCTTTGATAGATCCCTGTATAGCTTTTTTTGCAGTGATCTTGAGTGCATGTTAGTGATAAAATGAATTTTGTATGATAAGAGATCCAACTTGTGTTGCCGCTGGCAGAGACTTCAGTGCTTTTGTTTCATCTGTAGTGAGCTGCAAGCTTGATCCCACTGCGGCAAATGACATGAGGGGCGGTAGCAGTACTGTATAGCGTGATAGGCTTCAGCAGGAGACAGGAAATTAATATTGGTCAATGTTTGGTGAGTCGGGCTTTGCCGGGAACGTTATCAGGTCAAAATTAACGCTGCTAATTTGCAGAGTTCATCCAGGCCCCATCCGAAATTAACCAGCGTAAACACGCTGGCACACGGCGCGAGCATCGGCGGTGAGCACTACATAGCTGTCTCTCGTAGCCAAACCTTATCTAAATAAAAGAATACAGTCGCTCCTTCTTTTTCAAGGGTAGTAGGTGCTATGGTTTTTTCTACTCCAATTTTTTTAACATTGAGGGTAATACCCCCATGTAGGACAATATACTGAACACCAGATGAGTACTTCCTCATGTACCGAAACCGTGAATGCCCTGATATAGCGCGTACCCCGATCAGTCCGCCGTTCCTGCCGGACGCCGTGGTTATCAGGTGAGTCTGCGCGCTTAGTATCGAAGAACTTCTAACACAAAAGGCTCCACCGTGACCGGAGAACAATTCTGTTGAATGTATTCTTGTGAGTCTTCAAAAAGCTTTATCCCGCTTCTAGCGCTTTAATTTTATCGAGTGTTCTCCCAAAAGCTATCATATAATTTATATTCGGCTACTCCTTAGAGAGCTGTGCATGAATCAGTGTTGGGTAAATATTCAGATTTATTATTGGATGAAGAATGGTATTTTTCTGTGCACGTTTATGTTAAAGTCGCATAACTGCTGAATTTTCCCCCTGCGTGTCTCAAGGACTCCCAATTATGGTATCTTTACCACATGCATGCATCATGTTGACCTGGTGTCTAGAACCGGGACCATCAAGCTTCAGATGACATCGCAATGGCCACCTGCCACTGATTTCACTTACACTATTTCGGCAGTTACATTCCCCTTGACTCGGAGCGGGCAGTTTTTTGATCTCTGATAGCAGTGCGGCCCAGCCATCCTTGAAAAGATTACGCTCTTATCGGAGATAGAAACACAATACTCACCTATGTTTCAAGTCTCCAACCTTACCGCTTCGAAAGGATCACATTCGCTTGATTCATTGGCAACTTATCCCTATCTGATAACATCTGATCCAGTCATTCTCTCCGAAGAGATTACATCAGGCGCGAAGTCTCCGGTCATGAATGCAATGTGACTTTCACAACGTCAGCGTTATAATTAATTATCTCACCATGGTCATTGGATGTTACTATGTGGGTGCTGGCCCTGTACAGTATACAAGACTCTCGTTCGTCAACAAACCGACATACGTCAAAGAGTATAAGTACAGGGTACATGCGACCCAAATATTGGAGCCATTCTCTCACCAAGCTTCAATCTTTCTGCAAGTTTTCACAATGTCGATGAACAACCTGTCCACATCCACCCTCGATGGCGAAGTGCGTGCTTGTGTTTTGATACCCTTCCATGTTCCGATGTTGATGTCGAATATAGGTCCTAGCAAACATCCGCCAGTCCATCGCCGAATTTCTTCAGCGTTGCGGTCCCGCTTGACGAGGCGTGGTACTCCGAATGCTCTCAGGAGGCCATCAAACGAGGCTATCCGATGGACGCCATCCTCTCATACATGCCTGTTGGCGTGGCCATGGTATCCAACGCTTATGACCATCTCCCGGACCGTGCAACAAAGATGTGGATGTGCTTCTTCACCATCCTATGCGCCTGCATGGACGACATAATGATCAGCGGAGAAAATACGGTATGGTATTTCTTTAATAAAGAGCTTCGATCTTTAACCCTTTGTGTGAACAGATCTCGCCGCAGGCCCCCTCATACCCTGAGTATGCTAGGATGCTATCAGGTGTGGACTATGCGTACGCATACTGCGTTTTCCCTTCCACACTCCCGCCTCGGGAATACGTTCAATGTATAATGGATGTAGCCATGGTGATAAACTACGCAAAGTAACTACTTGCATCGATGATTTTATGTTAACCTTTCTAACCTGCCATGATTCAGTGATATATGATTGTCATACTACAAAGAGGAGATCCAAGGCGATACTGCAAACTACCTGTCGCTCATGGCAGCCTCTCGTGGTCTTAACAAACAGGACGCTCTCCGGAAACTCATCGAGAAAACCGTACAACTACATCACGGTATCCTCGAATTCCTGAGACCGCGTCCTGAGGCATATGACGCCTATGTCGCATTCTTCAATGGGTATTTCAAATTCCACACTACCTTTGGAAGGTATAAGCTGGAGGAGATCATGGAGAAGAGGTCGTCTTCTTGATGGATACCTTTCTTATGGTATTTCTCAACTTTTCCTCTATGTTGATTACATCTTAAAGTAGAGTGATAGCTATCACGTTTGTACCCTGTTCTATGTCTGCCAGGCGCCATTCGATTACCTGTCGCTTTGGCTTTTCGTACTCCGTCCAGTTCAATCAAGCAGTTTTATGAGAATTTTTTCCAATGTACTTTGTAATGTATGTAAGGTTTGGTTGATAAATATGATTTTACCCGCTCGCATGTGAAGTTCACGCTGGGACAACCACTTGACCCACAACGGAAGCTTGGTCTTTCGCAAGCGTGCAACTCCTCAATGAAAGTCATCAAACGTAGTGGGGTCTACAGGGTCAATCTGGCGACCTGGCCGACGAAAGTGTAGTTTGTGTTGCTGATATTCTTCGAGGAGCTAACGAAGTTCTATGCGGAGATGAAGGGCAGTGTAGCGTCCACTGCGTGCAGAAAGATCAAGTCCATCTCTTCCAAACCGCATCTTTACTCGGACGAAGTGATGCAAATTCTTTGCAATGACTGTTCGGATGTAGCACTCGCCATAATCCATGCCTTTGCATTCCATAGTGGCCTGGAGGAGACGATTGAGGTGTTCTTGTAAGAAATAAACACCCATGAAACTACCACGTTGCCCGGTAAGGTTGATGAGTAGGCTGTGATTCTGACGGTACCTCGATGAATGGTCGATGAACCTAAGTTTGATGTTTCAATAGCCTTCTGACATTGACATGATAACTTTGAGGTGTGCTGTGACAGGCAAGGACTATACGTGAAGTTTGGTAAGGCTATGACCCATATTGTATCCGGTTTGTGAAAATCGATATAGAATCTGTGGACGAGCCTTTTCGGAATGATGAATTTTAGCCAACCCGAAGTCGTTTCATTCGCGACGCTTTCATGGCTTGCCGTGCCGCCTACGACCAGCTTAATGATAAAGAAACATTGACATTGAAAGAAGACGTGATACAACTGCCAGTGCACGCACCGCTCTAAGGACAATGTCCGACTGCCCCATCGACTTTCACGTCCGGAGTACGAAAATGTGATTTGGGATGATATTGAACCTGACCTGGTCCCTGTGATTCGGACGGGCGTTAGCCCATCTGTGAAGATTTTGACTGGATCGTTGATTACCTGTCAGACGAAGTAGAGCACGACAAAGCCGATGAAACAATGATGCATGGCTTGCGCTGAACGCGATGCGTGGACTAGGAAGCTCTGCCAAGCGACATGGGCTCTACCAGACCTTCAGAAGCCTTTGTGAGGAATGGTATAGCTCAGGCTGCATGCAGTTGACGTTACAATAACTTCGGCGCAGAAATTGTACGACAATCTGTCTGCAAAGGGTTGAATATCGATGGAGCTGCGTCTGCAGCCAAATATTTGAACATGTTTATCACTAGTACTCACGTTGCAATTTATTCCTTTTTGGTCAATGGGAGGATCAAAACGAGTTACGTTGATTAGATAAAGCACTGTACAACTCTACAAGAGGTGCACAACAAGGGTTGCGACTAATAAGCGGAAATACACTATGTACGACTCGCAAGACCCTCACAATTTCATACTATACACGTCCGCAATTAAGTGTGAATCGTACGACCTCGAAGATGGGATATATGTATGCAGAAACCTAACCAGGTGTCTGGTACGTGTAAAGTATTATCATAACGATGCGGAACAACCCAGATGTGATCCCCTTCCCCACTACTCGCGAATATACTCTATCGCCCACGGTCCAAGCTCATCCTCAGCGATAGGAATAGTCACCCCACAAGCCGCAAAATGACGCGCAACAGACAACCTGTCGATATTATCCGCCACGCCCACAAACGGCGCATAGCAGACGTGGGGAGAAACGCTGAATGCAGCTCTCCGCAGGATGCTGGAGTATTCGCCGCGCTCGGCGAAGAGCTCTGTGACGACTGTCATGTATTTTTGACGGGCTTCGCGGGATTCGGGATCGCTCGGGTTGACTAAGGGGCGGAGCCGAGCTACGGTTCGGCTGGCTTTCATGTCGGAGAGGACGGGACGGCCGTCCGGTTCGCGGCGAATGCCCTTTGGGCAGGAACTGGGGTTGGCGGTGTAGTATGATACCCAACACTCGACAGGGTCCTCGAGACGAGGGTTGTTTAAAGGGGCAGGTAACTTTGGGAGTGACGAGGGGTGCTCCCAATCAGGAGTCCGCCAGTTGGATAACAAGTAGCGTTGGACTTCGGTCTTTTGATCTCTGGGCGTTTTGTGCGCTTCTGAGCAGAGGGCTTTAACTTTTGTAAGGGCACTGTAGTTGCCGGGCTGGTGTGCAGCTTTAATGAGGGATTGGACTTGTTTGATGCTCTTGGCAGGCTTTGTTGGTTTATGAGTGGGTGAGGCTACAACTGTCCAACTGAGGGTTGGAGGGGCGTCGTCTGATGATGTAGCTTGAAAAGCTGAGTCGTCATCTGGCTGACCTGTTGCCAATACAGCAGCAAATGAGCGAGCTGCGACGCAGTCGGGCAACTGCGCTTGAGGGGAAGCAGGGGTTGTCATGGGGGGAGACAACTGTTGAGGATACATGGGAGTTAAAAAGTCGAGGGAGAGCTGGTGATCGATGGGAGGTTCGATGAGGCGAAGATCAGATGGTGGATCTGCAGGGGGGTCTAGCTGAAGAGACTTTACAGAAGAATGAAAGGAGACGGATTCGATAGGACTAGAGACCTCGACTGCAAGGGCAGTTTGTTGTCTGAGCTTGTCCTGTAGTTGCTCTGATTCTGTACGTGTTGCGTCTAGTTGAGCACGAAGAGTAGATAGCTCTTCACGAGCTTGGTTACGCTCAAGGCGATAACGATCAATGTCATCGACGAGGACTCTATTTTCCTCTTTTTGACGGCGAATACCCTCTGATATGCCCTTGTTAAAGAGGTCTTCGCGCGTGCGCTTCCTGTCTTGGAAGGCGATTTGAAAAGCTGGCTGATGTGAGGAATAACTTGCATCAGCGACATGCTTCATGTATGAAGAGCAGACGTCGCATCCTGAAGGGTGAACAATTCCATAGTCGTCAAGGTACTCCCAAGGGGAGAGGAGAGTGGGAACACCGCGATTGTCTCTAAGAGAAACGCGGTATGGCTCGTCATGAGATGACAAGGAAAACATGATTGGTGTGTTTGATAATGAAATGCGCACCAGGCGATGAAGAAGGGTATCTGAGATGTGGGGAGATTCATTGTGGCGCCAGCCAGGTTGATATGCTGTCCAACACGTGTCTTGCCTCGCGTTCACTGCCAGGCGGGTTATTTACTAATGTTAGATTTAGATGCTGTAGAGAAACAAAAGTCAACAAACGATTCAAACAGGCTTGCTCATAATCCTAAATGCTCGTCAGTAGTCGTAGTAGTTAGTGGTTGGTTGATGTAGCCAATAGTCAGTTGATTAACTTAGGCACATCATGTGTTAGGTTAGTGTTAACGTAAGCAATTAGCACGTGGGTAGGCGATGATCAGGTCAAGGACCACAGCGAACTCAAGCATCTACTGCGATCACTGCGGACTGTGGTCGACAAGAAAAGCATCGACATACCACTGATATACCATTATATTCATCCCTATATCATCTAAATTCGCTTGCTATACCACACATCCAAGATGTCATTCATAGATACACTTCAAAATGCCCTTGACCGCATGTTACCAAGGAAGTCAAAGACCAGCACAGTACCAGCAGCAGTTGGGATAGGAAATGGGCTTGGTATGGTCAACTACGAGGACGACGTGAGTCTCTTATCATTATTTTGTACCCAGTAGCTGCCAGAAAACGCCAGCCAACTTTGTCCTTGTAACCCGCTCTATGCGCTTCGACTCGAACCATTTACGTAATATACACAACTTCCCTCTATGCCTCTTCATGGATCAGTCTGGAACACTGGTCTTCCTCCTTTTCTTGCCCCTTTTATGGATCGTTTGGCTCGCGGTCATTGATATTTACTTACAACACTCTATCAATCATGCTGACACCTTTTCCGCCTTTTAGATGATTATAAGCAAGCCTGCCATCATATTTCACATTTCTCAGACATTCTTCAACTTTCTCGCAATGGCTTGCTTTGCAAGCGTAGCCAGTTTTCAAGCAAAGTGGGGAATAGGGCCTTGTAAGTTCATCGCTGCCACAGTTTCAAACCATACTGACTCTCCACAGCTGGTCTCTCAGGATTCGCGATCTTCGTGAGCGTCACAGGAATATTCCTATCCCTATTCCTCCTCTTCGTACCTGTCGTATACGAGAAATACGACAAACTCATTCGCCTAGCCCGTACCCTCAAAGAAGTACGCGTCGGCTTCATCCTCGTTGGCAGCGGGTGCATTTTCAGCCTCCTCATCGCGTGCGTATTCATCTTACCACCCCTAATCCTAGTCCTCACTTCAGGCTGTACAGATTCATCACCACAATCTCAGCGTGGACAGAGCCTGGTTGCAAAAACGCAGATAACGATCCTCACGCGAGCCTTGGCGACGCGTTTACGAGCGCTCTCCCTGGTTGGTGCAGTACAAAGAAAGCAGGTGCTATATTCTTTTGGTTAGCGTTCGGTATGTTTCTGTGTCACGTTCCACTCTATTCATTTATCTCACGCTGTCACTCCAGGCTTCTGGCTCGCATCCTTCATCTTGCTTATCATTGACTGGCGCTCCGGAAACCTCACATCCCCACCCCGCGATCTCCCATTCACGCGTCCCCACTCTGACATCGAAGAAGTCGAAGAAGTAGAAGTCGAAGAAGAAGAAGAAGGCGGACACTCATACCAACCCGTCGCCACCAACACAGCGCCCACATACCCCCGCCAATCAGCATACGACAACTCTAACGCCTCCGCATCTCCGTTCGCAGACTCCAACCGCCTCTCAGCCGCTCCCACTAATACCAATACAACCTACCTACCCTCAATCAACACAAATCGTTTCTCAACAGCAGACTCAAGTGCTAATCGCACATCTGCATATTCAACCGCACCCACTACTACCACCGCTCCTACTACAAGCACCAACACGGGTTACGCTACTTCTAGACCTAGTATGGACGCGTATGGCGCGTTTTCAGACCCTGCACCGAGTGGATTCGGGGGCGTGTCAGCGTCATATGCGCCCACTGCCTCAGATTCTGGGTCTGGGGCGCCGAAAGTGAGTAGGACGATGCAATATGCGGATCCGTATGCTGCTGTGCGGGCATCGCTGGCGACGAGCACAGCTACGGGTGCGCCGGCTCCGACAAAATCTAGCTACGAACCGTATACTGGGTACCGATAGTGTACCCTTTATCATGATGGTGGACCGGACTGGTGATATTTATGTAGATGGTTTATGTTTACGCGCGGATATACCCGCAACATGCTTACAATTGCTCTCCTCGTTAGCGCTTATAATAGGCTTGATGTCGTTGGATTGTGTATTATCCATGGACCATTTGCACTGCATCTCTTTCACATAAACTTGTACTGAAACTTGGGGGATAATCAATCATCTGTTGGTGGGAGCGATGCGTTCCGAGTTAGACTACCATTCATAATATGTGTGCATAGAGCACGTATAGAACTAGTGATTATGCTACAGCATATACTACGATACCGATTCTATGTCTATGGTGAGTCGCATATCTCCAACGGTCAGTCTAAAACGGAGAGAATGAGATCATGCATCTGCCAGAAATGCGCTCCCACTAGCCCCACCCGCCTTTCCGGTCAATCACGTCTGCCCGCCTTCCTCCACAACAACTGCAAAAGCCCTCTCGTTCTCTTCCATACGCCTCCTCACAAGTGCCTGATATGTCTCCCCTTCCAAGTTCGTGTCTTCGGATGATGACCCTGAACTTGAATCAGATGGGTATCGTCCGTAGACGGGTTTGCGCCCGTATGCGAGTTCAGCGACGGTGATCTGTATATGGGATTAGCGGATGTGACTGGTCGGGAGAAAAGAATATGCGGCAAGAGGGAAAGAGAAAGACGTACTAAAATATCAGCTGTAAGCCCCTTGATAGGAGATGCACATGTTCTGAACCGGTGCATCCTATATATGAGTCCGTCGAATGCGTCGAGGCGGACGTCGGACGGGTTCTGCGCGGCAAGAGGTATTAGCATGGAAGGGTGGGAAGTACTAACAAGACAGCAGCAAGGTTTCCGTCACAGAAATGCAACTCGGATCGAACAAAGGACATGGTAAAAAGCCGATGACTCACATACACATCCCCAGCACTATATGGCCAGTCCTCTCCCACATCCACGAGCGACTCCCCTTTGTTCAACGAGAGACGAGGGTCCAGCATCGCTTCGAGTGGATGATCGAATATCCTGTCGACTTCTGTGAGAGAGGGAGTGAGGGAAGTGAGGATTGGGTGAGAAGAAGACTTGGGTGGTGTGTTGGAGCTTGCATTCGAGGAGCTGTCCAAAGTCGAGAATGACGGGGACGAAGTGACGAGTGGAAGCGACGAAGATAAAAGCACGACGACGGGCGTTACCAACAACTGAGATGCAGAGAGAAAGGGCGGGAGTGTTGTTATAAAATGTATATTTGACGATGTGGGCGGAAGAGGAAGACCAACTTCTTCATTTGCTTCGCGAAGCTGAGTTGTGTGAAAGCATGCGCATATATTGAATGAATGAGGGGATTCATAATTTAACCGCAGTACTTACAGCAGTCCAGACCAAACTCTCATCTCCCTCATCTGCTTTGCCGCCAGGTAATGCTGTCTGTCCTGGATGTGCACGCAGTGACTTGGACCGGGTCGTCAATAAGACTCTAAGCTCTCCAGCTTGCTCGTACAGTAAAACAAGCACAGCTGCGAGTTTGGAGGTTGGTTGTCGAGAGCTGCCGCATGCGCATTCGTGGGTGAAGCAAGGAGAGGTGGGAGGTGACTTACAGGTCAGGTCTATCCAATTGACATGTCCTCAGACGCTCGACGCATGCTCTAGACTTTGAAGTGAGGCGCTTGAGCACATGTGTTGGGATGTCCCCTAAGCGTTTCTCAGAGTTAGGTTGTGTACTAGTAAGCTTTGGGATGGTAGAAGAGAGAGCCATAGCATAAGCTGGGGTCGTCTTGAAACACAGCACCACGGCTAGTACTGCCGTTAGACTAAGTGACAGTGATAGCGTATTGACTTGGAATAACAAAGAGTACATAATGGTACAAGAATTGGGTTGGACATGGAGAATTATAAAGAACCGGACATGGGAACCCACGACGTAGGCAGACCATTCCTCCTATTCAGGTGCACCACTCAGAACAAGCCATGATGTTTTCGTCATGTAAGTCCTCCTAACTTATGACTTCCTCCGCGGCGAAGGCGACACAAGACCAGACACTTTTTATAGCTGTAGACAGGAGAATGTTCAAAATGACAAAACGCTGCCCCTCCGCCGCCAGCCCAGTCCAGAGGGAAGTCTAACTGTCAAGGAATTTGGACCCGAATATTCGCGGTTCGTTTTTCGCCATCGTACTCACTAACACATTATGAAGTCACGGTCTTGTTGATCAACTTCGCATTTGAGCGGCGGCCTCTGGACTTTAAATCCTGCTTTTCACGAATGCGCCTGCACGACGTGCATTAATGCCCTGTTGATCTGTGAGCCGGTGGCTTCCGCTCCGTAGGGGTAGATATAGGCCAGGAACCTTCCGGCGTGCTGTTCGCTTGTTGATGGTGAAGCTGAGGTGTTTTCCCGAGCCTCCTGCAATCAGGATTCGGATTGCCCGTCACAGGTCGCACTTGAAACAAACAGAAAAGTCTGGGCAGTCTGTGTATGTACTTGGTCTGTACAAGAAATTATAGTCGTGGGAACTATACAAGGATTGCTCATATGACTATACCCTTCCGCACTTCATTCGAATCTTTCAAGAACAACCATACGTACGCCTTCCTTCACGCACAGCGGTGCCTATTTATGCTGAATGTGTAGGATATTTTTAAAGAAATGGCTCGTCAGGTATATTTATATTGCATCGCACAACCTTCTACTGCCAACACCGGACGGTAAGTGTAACTTTATCTGTATGCTTCGCGCTGCTGACTTGTGCAATCAATTTTGGATATATCCTCAGGCGGACCCAAAAGCCGTTTCCTCCTCCCGTCAAAGTCTGCAAAGAGATAGTCAACGGCATGGGCGGCGCACAATCAACCCATTACGCGCGATTCAAAAACTACAACTTTATGCTCCAAAGCAGGTGCTTACGAATGCCGCGTGTAGGCAGCGCAGCACGTGGCCCTCTCCTATCACCGCACCACAGTTAGTGATGTTCCGGCCCGGCTCAGGCTCAAAGCCCCGGCTTAGGCTTGGCTTCGAAGGGCTTAGGGTCTGTTCGGACATCAGCCATTTTCAAAATTCCAGTTTAACACATACAAGACCAAATAGTCGGAGACCGAAAATGATGTCACGCTGATGCTAATGATAATGAATTTGATAGCGGTCACTGAGCCTATTGTGCCACGCAATGCATCCCAACGACCTCAATGCCGACTTCGATATGCTAGACCTGCTAGATCCACTAGACCAAGATGATATTGTCATTGAAGAACATGATGACAGTTTGGATGAAGAGTCCAATCATGCTAATGCAGCGGACTCCGACCAGCTGGATGTAAACGAGCTGCACTGGATAGACACGATGTTCCGCGGTGCTGCTCGTGTAGCAATGGCTATTGCTGATGCTGCTGGCCAAGTACTCCAAGATCACACACACACTCACTACAACAAGCAGCCCTATCATACTTCCGCCTTGTCTGGAATGGCATGGGTCAATGAGCTCCTCACAGGACATCCAGACCGCATACGATGTGAACTTGGTGTGCGGCGCCATGTGTTCTATGTACTGTTGAATCTACTTCATGATTCAGGGTGCAGGAATTCAAAATATGTCCCGCTTGAGGAGCAGCTCGCCATCTTCTTGTATGCAAGTGTCACAGGTCTCTCTGTTCGCCATCTTGGTGAACGCTTTCAACGCTCCAATGACACGATATCAAAGTATGTGATTCCCCAGTGTGATAAATTCGCTCATTTTTTTTGAAGGTATTTCAAACGTATTCTCAACGCATTTTCCTCCCCCCCAATTTATTCATTGTATGTCCGGCTACCCAGCGCAGACAGTCCAACACCTCTCGAAGTCCTTCGAAACCCGAAATTCTTCCCATACTTCTCCAATGCCATCGGTGCTATAGACGGTACTCATATCGCATGCCACCCTAGTGGCAAGGATCGCGATGTGACTCGCGATCGTAAAGGCAACTTAACTCAGAACTGTCTCATAGCCTGCTCCTTCAACATGTCGTTCCTTTACATACTGAGTGGCTGGGAGGGATCAGCAGCCGATGCACGTGTTTATCATGATGCTCGCATTACAGACTTCAACATCCCTCCAGGCAAATACTATCTTGCTGATGCGGGATTTGCTGCATGCGATGAACTACTTGTGCCGTATCGTGGAGTACGCTACCATCTTGCTGAATGGGGTCGTGGACATCAGGCGTAAGTAATGTTCAACTTAAGCTAACTTGTACTTACATTGTTTTGTAGGCCCTGTAATCACAGAGAATTATTCAATCTACGTCATGCCATGCTCCGAAACGTCATTGAGCGTATTTTTGGTGTGCTCAAGAACCGCTTCAACATCCTGCTTCTCCCACCTCATTATAACATGGACGTGCAGGCTCGTATACCTGCGGCACTGTGCCTGGTGCACAACGTCATCCGTATTCACGACCCGAACGACATGATGGACTACCGCCAGGTTGATGTGAATGAGCCGGAGTATAATGTTGGCACACTTGCAGAAGGTCCTCCCACTGCAGAGGCACGCACACGTGCACACCGACATCGTGACGAGATCGCCCTTCGCATGTGGGAGGACTACAATCTGACGAGAGAGCAGAGAGGTCAGTCAGTCATAGCGGACAATCTTTTGTAGTCGTTTGCGTCAATTTTATGTAGTCATTTGCACCGATTTTTCATAGACGGTTGAGCAGCAAAGTGTCATAGTATTTGGTGCTGCTACTACTACTAACAATATCAAATGCGAAGGTGATACAGCGAAAATTTACTTCAAGTATGTCGATAAGAAAAGCTTCCGGACGCTCTCCTTCTCAATGACAAGGTACGAATCAGCTATGGCAACATCTGCTTGGAAATGCTTGATAATTTCGACGATCTCATGGTCCTCCAGACCCTCCTTCTGTAGCTGGATGATAGCCTTCTGCTTGCGCACCGGAATGGGATCCACTGTGGGGCGCGAGGCAACCTGAGTTGCGCGCTCATGCATGACATCTGTTGCGCGATCGAAGGAGGTGGAGAGACCACGAATCTCCTTGGACATGCTTTGGAAAGCTTCTGGGACAGCCACACGTGGTGACTTGATGGACTTCCCTGACTCGGATGCAGATTTCGTAGAGCCCGGAGGGCGAGCAAGCGATCTCATGTTATCACCTGATTCTCCAGCTGCTTTTCGTTTGCCGCTGGCAATGGTAGAAGTACCTGGTGTAGAGGGAGTGAAGGTGGGCCATTGCATCGGATCAAAGAGAGAGGGTGGCTCAGTCATGATGGTGGAGGGTGGCGGCATCATGGCGATATCTACATCCTGCGACTCGATGTCATTCAACGCTTCCTCCTGGTCGAGTATATTGGCTTCATCATAACTGATGCCATCTGGGAGGTGAGAAGAGGTAGCGTGACTCGGAGCCCCTACCAGCGCAGCGTTGTCAGCAGGCATGCGGGTGTAGAAAGCACGGCTTCCACATGTATTTGGCGATGGTAGGAGTTCCTTCATTGCTTCATAGTGGGGCCAGCCTTTATTCTTAAACTTCCTTGCAGTGATAGGAGCCTGGATCATATTAGTAGTTGCCAGTGGTAGCGGAGTATTGACAGCACTCACTTTCGATGAGCCCATGTAGTCAGTCCATACCGTCTCAGATTCAGCTGTGATGTTGGCGCCATGCTCCAGACTGTACTCCCATCCAGAATAGGTCGCAATTGAGTCTACAACACCAAACGTGCTACGGAGCTGGAGGTCTTATTAGTATAGACTCTAGTACTGGTGCAACATGATGAGAACTTACCCGCACCCATTTCGATTGGCATGCATCAATTGTCTTCGGCGCACCTTGTGTGGTATGTTTAGATGTCTCATTAGAAGCAGAGGTCCAGAAGGTCTTGTCAAAGTTCATTCCGTTACCACCCTTAGCTCGGTGGGTAGCGATGTATTGGATGAGGTGTGTTTCATCGTCCAGTGTCCAGAAACATCAGTCCTTGGTTTCAGGGTCCTGACACTCCGGTGCGCTCTTCTTTCCACGTACCATGGTGCTCTTTGAACGTCCACGGTGGCTGAGACTTGAACGAGTCAATCTAGTGTTAGATCGCGTAGCTGGCATGTTATTGATGGGCTGATATGCTTTGTCACATATGTCACACTGACCCCCAAACATTACAAAGCACCATATGTTTGAAATTTGAAAATTTGTGGCAAAATTTGTGTATCCGAACAGACCCTTAGGCTCACAAAAATTCAGAGCCTAGGCCGTGAGCCCAAGCCAGCCCAAAGCCGGGGCTTGGGCCCAGCCAGGCTGCGGCTTGGGGGAGCCAACGGACAGAGCAGCTTTGCGAAGCCAACAGACAGATCAAGCATTAGTGGTAGTCTAATTACAATGTGTCTAAATGTCCGTCTCAACATCTGACACGTCCTCAGCATCATCACCCAAAAGTAAAACGTCGACACCAACACAATCAAGGATTTTGAACAAAGTGCCACCAAGACGCTTGTCTGCGTGGGCATTGTTGACTTGAGTGAATCCAAGCAATGCACTCTCGAGTTCCCATTGCGTGGTAACCTTCTCTTTGATCCAATGTCCTGTGATGGCGAAGTAACCGTCAGTATTTTCGGCCTGCCATGCATCACAGGTGGTATTGATAGCACCCTTAACAGTGGCGCCCTACATTTATCTCCCATTAGTTGAGTAGATAGAGCAATATCATGAACATTACTTACATTGAGTCTATTCCTGAGCCCTGTAAGATGAGCTTTGAACATTCTCACTATCTGTGCACGAGTCGCCTTCCTGCCTGGAATTTTGACGCCATTGGTTGCTCGAGCAGCGACATCAATCATTTCTTTGAACTTCGGATGCTCGAGTGCTTGAATTGGCTAGATAAAGAGACGTTAATACAGTTCTGTAGGAAGAGAGACACAGTACCTGGTCAGTGGCCACAAGCCACTCGATCGCAGCCTGTTTGAACAACTTATCCGAATATGAAACCACTTTTTCAGTGAGCTTCTGCTCAGTCAGATGCGCATTAATGCTCTGCTGTTTGTCCTTGCGGGCCTTGACGTCACCAGGAAGCATTGACTCAAACGAATGTTCTTTGGCCCATTTCCGATACTTGCCAGGGAACTTTGCCTCAGCGTGACGACGGAGGGTAGATATTTCGTTCACAAGAATACATGCTTGCCTATTGAGCATGCATCAGTGTGTGAGTATGAATACAAGTGAGCACACCTACGGGCACGTCTTGCACTTTCTGTGCTTTTTCACCTTCCCTTTGGCCCCTGCGTGATCAAAGGTAGCACCAAAGAAAGCATTGATGTCGGCAGTTTTGGCTTCTTGCGTCAACACTGGTTCAACTTCCGTGAGAGATTGAACGTCGATGTCGATTAGAATACCGTCAGCGTCAACCAATTCTGGTTCAGTTGGGACAGCGGCCGTTTTGCGCTGCTTTTGAGGCTTGGGATTAGTACATGCGTCTTCACGCTCATCATCACTAGGTTCCCTGTCAGAGTCTTCAGGGTGCAACCTTTTGTGGGTGTCGACAGCAGATGGCGATGGTGGTATGGGAGAGGTAGATGGAGATTCTGTGGTTTCAGGGGACAAACGTTCAGCAGCGCGCTTAGCAGCCTCTGCAGCGTGGAACTCGTTGATCGCCTTGGTTTGGGATGGCAACGCTGCCTTCTCGGCATGCTGAAGGAGGGTGGCTGTTGGCTTTGTTTTGCGCACAGGACGTGCAACACGGTGCTCAGCATCTGTGCTTGTCATGGGTGGGTAGTAAGTAGGGATGTTAGAGGAACACGTACCGACATGAATCAATTGAAAGATATTGGGTGCGCCGTCACACTTGCGAAGGTGAAGCAAAAAAGGCTTCAGATTTACGAAAAATATTGATCTGTGAAACTGAGATCTGGTTTTCTGACAGCGGAGTGAGTTATGTCGAGCTCGCAAAGCAGAGGACATGGCACTGGCACTCACTGTGACTTTTCCGTAGCAACAGACAAGAGATAAGGCGTTGAAATTGCTGGATATGTTGGCCAATGCAGGCTTTTTGACTGCAACATGTGGACCATCCGAGTCGAAGCTGATAGAGTTGATGGAAGTCAAAGAAAGACAAAAATAGAGTCGGGAAACGTACCTCTGGCAAGGCTTCTATGGCAGTGCCACTAAACATGCCAAAGCCACGGCTCAGGCCAATGGCTCAGGCTTCTCGAAATCCAAGCCCAGGCCCAAGCCTTCCTCAGGCCGTGACGTAGGCCTGGGCTGGGCCCGGCCTATTTGGGCCCGGCTTGGGCCGGCCCAGGGCCTCAAGCCGGGCTGTGCACATCACTAACAACAGTCCTCGTGCCACACTTCAGCAGGCTCAAGTGCCACCTTTCCTTCGACTCCAAAATTTTCGTGACCCCAATTTTCATTTTATTTTCCTGAATTTTATTTTCCAGGCTATCTTTCGCTACTTGGCAACTTGGTGGTCTCTGAGGGCCAAGATCCTTCCGCATGAAGACAAGTCCAACAGGGAAGCTGGCCAAGGGTGGCATCCGAAAATGCTTCCATGCCGCCCTCTCAATTTTACTCATACACTGATGCCTACCTCTTCTTTCCAATTCCGCACCTTGAAGCGTCGCTTTGTGGCTCCTACAATTTGGGATCTGAAGTCACTTCGCTGCATCGCTCTCACTCCTACTGCCATGGGAATCACAGCTCACTTCGGCTCTCTTTTGCACAGGTTGGGGCCGCTAATTGGGGCCGGGTTGCCCCTCCGGAGCTTCCACCAAACATTTATTCTTGTTCTTCCTACCACTTCTAAGACCGCTGTACGAGCACACACAAAGGTAGCCCTGTTGGATTGTGGGGGGCTTACTCCCGACGCTCACATTGTGCAAAGGGAATGCTTCTGGTATGAGAGATGGTATGTATGTGAGGTATGCGTCTGGTTTTCGTGCTGCATTATATTCTTGGTGCATTCTGTGGTGAACTTTTGGCCAGCGAATGTATTTCCCTTCGATATTGGAGCGGTGGGTGTAGTATTAGTGGCATAAATATGTGGGGTATTCTTGGTTCGGTAGCTATGTTCTGCATAAAATATTGTGTGCGTGCATAAATGAATGTTTAGTTTGTCGCGATCTCACTGACTGTCATCTTGGATCGTCCGGTACTGTTGAATGTGAATATCTTTGAGATGTAGAGTAGAAATTGGACCAATAAGCGGACAGGCTGGAGCGGTTGTGAATACATTTGAGAGGGTTGTGTGGAAGGCAGGGCAGAAGATGGGGTAGAAGGTGGATTCTGGCCTACTGGACCAATGAGTGGAGGTGTGTATCCACAAACAGAAACCAAGGCAGGGTGCTGTCCACCGTCGACGCTGCCCTGATCATATAAAACGAGCTCGTGATCAATAAATTGAAGTGATTCTTTAGCAGAAGGGCAATCGAAGGGATTCTCTGACCAGCAGGAGGTCATAGAATTCCAGTGCTGGTCGGTAATGCGGTGGCAGTGAGCTGGACGAGGATGCTGTTTCCGCTCAAAAATCACTTGATACATCTGGTATTCGCAGGTCAAGCAAGTGACACCAGGGTAGATTTCCCGTCAAAACCTGCAGGACAGCTTAGTGAACTGCATTGGTAAGAGGGAACGACCTACTTGAAGCATGATGCTACCAAATGAGTAAATGTCACTCTGAGTGGTAAATACAGAGGTTGAATCTTCCGCAGTAACAAGTTCGGGAGCTGTCCACCTCAATGCTCCTGGACAATGCTGGCTCATTGCAAGATATGTCATGCAGGGCAATCATGCCAAAGTTCCCGAAAGGCCAAAATCTGCAAGGAATGCAGTTCTGTCACTACCGATGAGAACATTATTCTTGTAATTGATCGTTAGTATGAGGAATTAATCAAACGAGAAACCTTACACTGGTGAGGTCTCCGTGGACGACAGGATTAAAGTACGTCTGTCCATCTACAGTGAAACTGAACGTATGAACTGAGGGAGATGGTCATTTTTGTTTATTTTTGGCATTTACATATGTCCACTCATGATAGTCAAGGCCAGCAGCGATGTCACGGAGCTTGTGCACGAAACGATGAGCCCAAGGGTACAAATCGGAAACTTATCTTTGAAGCTCTCACCAGAAGCAGCCGATCACGTGGCCCGGGGTTTCCTTGAGGAATGACGTCAGATTGCTGTTGACTATCCACGGAGCAACCAGAGTCGCAGATAGGCTGAAGTCTCGAGTAGTACCCATGAACTTCAAGATATTAGGATGTTGCAACCTCTTCCAAATCCCAATCTCTCTCCGAAATACCTAAGAAAGCTTAATGAGATTTGTCGGTTCCCTGAGTCATATAGTAGAAATGAATACCTCCTCATTGATGAATTGTGGCCAAAGTGCTTTCACAGCGACCTGCAGATGCATGATATTTTAGTAAATATGGAGGACCTGCCAGTGTAAGTTCTGCACAAACTTCCACATTGCCATCTGGACCATGATATAGGCATCTGTATAGTAAATATCTCCGTACGCTCCCCAGGAAACTGAGTAGTAGGGGGGGAGTCGTTCGATAAACCTAGTCAAGTCTGGGATCAATGGGAGAGAATCAGGTTGCACGTCAGACATCTCCTGCAGAATGCCCTGATGAGGATACCCTTCCAAGGAGGAAAGGGGTAGATGGGATCTATTAAATGTTTGGCTGGTTATGTATGGAAGAGAAGTCGCCCATGGGCTGGGTTACATGTTCAAGGCCTCATTGTGTTGGCACGAGGAAGCTCATGGCTAGAAGCTTGAAAAATGAAGTCCCATAAAGAGACTGCCAATAACAGTTTACAGTATGTTACAATCAGTGGGTCCAAGCTGGTAGACAAACGGAGGTTGAACTCGGGATCGACAGGCCTTGAGAGTTACAACAATTGATCGAGTACTAGTAGGAGCGGGCACATTCATCTAGGACGGAAGGAGGGTCCGTATGGTCTCAAAATTGACTTTCAGGTTCGACTTTAGTGCAACTTGTTTGTAAACTAAATATCTCCGCTGATTTTATATCAGAACTCAGACTCTGTTTAATTCGCCTGCTGTTCCATACCTCAGAAGGCACAAAATTCATAAATTTGAGAGGCAGTACCACAGCATGCTACACTTTCTAAGGAATCCTCATGACGGTGCCGAGCTCACCTAGCAGGGGAAGTTCTGATCAGCATAGATTTTAAATGAACCAACTCCCACAAATTTCCTATCGTTAGAAGCATTCAAAAAAAATTCCGTAGCCTGCAGGCTCCTTGGCGCAGATTGACTCCATCTTCAGTGACCAGAAATGAAAGGGCTTGTGCACTTGGTGTGCCGATTGTGGCAAAAAGTTGGTCCCGTATTTAAGCCTGAATTCCCATTTTGGGATGTCTTCTTTATCGATGTCCTTTTACCAAACCAGTCATATCCAGTCGCTGATTGAACCCCATCCCATCGATGCCCGTCCCAGCACGAGTTCAACCAGGAAAGAACATTTGGGTAGCTGCAGGCGATGGCGATTTAGTTAGGGTTCGGGTATGTAACTTGTCTTCGCTTACAGTACGTGCCAAGCTTATCTCGTTCCTTCAGGGACTTGTTGAACAGCAATGCAGGTGTCATCTCATAGTTCACATGGTCAGGTCTGATCCGGTCCCTCCCAGCCACATCACCCAATGCTCCTGATGAATTCACGTATACTCCCATGCATGCTGTGGCCTCATACGGGCAGCTTGAGACCCTAGCGTACCTGTCATCAGCGAATTCATGAGTTCACGATATTGTAGCCATGATGATTATAGAAATATATACTCCTGCTTCTACCAAATATATCTATTTATACGCCAATAAATTTGACTTGCTAGTACATATGTATGGATGAATGCAAATCTATGCTACACTGGGACATTGGGACATCCCCACCAGTAGTAAGGGACCATGGAGGAATTGTGTCAAAGTTGTCAAACATGTATGAAGGGCCGGAGCGGACAAAATCTGTATGGGTTTGATATCAACACTTTTACTTTCCAGTCGTGTGAGTTTGCTTTTGCAAAACCAACTTTCACTTTCTGAAATATATGAATTATGTTTCCGTTTCAGGATATGCTTTCACTTAAGCTTTCGATTCTGTTTCCATTTCAGGAATCAGCTTATGCCTCTGATATCTGCACATGTGCAATGATGACTCGAGTTCCTCGTCCTTTGACCTTAGTTTTCATGGAATGATGGCAAAGCGCACGGGCCAATGCCAAAAAGTGCGAAAACTTGAACAACCCACCTTCTCTTCTGACCGTGTCCGGTGTGACAACAGTACCAACTCTACTGATGACGAATGAACTCTGTAACATGCCTATACAAACATCGCACTGCCATCATGGGAGCAGGTGCCATTGCACAGGGTATATTGAGATTTTTGGGGTGAGTTTCTCAATCCATCTTTGACGCTCAAAAGTGATACCATCTTGATTAGATTGATACTTGTGCATGCTCACATTCAGAGCAAGATCATGCTGTTATCGTTGATGTCCCATCCCTTCCTCTTCGTCACTGTCCAGATCAAGCCCAACAACATTTCATGACAGTATGTATTTGAATTATGAGTCCTAATGTCAGGCTAAAATTCTGTAAGAATAATTCACCTGGGGATCCTCGAGCAATGTGTTTGCTCTGCTCTTGCCCATATTACGAACATTCATTGCCACTTTCACCCCGGCGTCAGGACTCCATCAAACCAAGCACACCATCTCTTTTCAGTAGACATGGATCCAGCACCAGCACTTCCACAAATGTCTCCTTGTCTTCACTTACAACTCCAGTGACTTTGCCCCGTTCCATGCAAGGCTATCTCCAGCCTCCCACTTTGCCATTAGCATCAGTTTCTTCAAATTCTGGCCTGTTGCTTGCGCCGGTGGCAAATATGCCAGCCTCTTTACCTGCAGCTACACCTGGCAGGTGGTCTGCCGGGTCCCTCCCTCCATGGAATCCTCCAGGACCTCCAATCTCTGGAACAACCAATGACCATCGCTTGTCGCACCATGGGCATGGTGTTTCCTGGTCACTGCTTTCAGTAATCCCAACCCTCCAAAGACGCCAGGCAGAAAGGTCGGCTAATGCTGTGGCTTCCTCATCAAGACATCCTACCAGTCGAAACTCGAGGTCAACAAGTGTGACCCAACGCCGGCGTAAAACCACGAAGTACCTTGTAGTACTACATCCTGAGCCTGTAAGTTTTTTGCGCAGTCTTTGATCTACACTTATTGGTCTTTATCTGTCCTAGATGCATGGGACGGTGCACACAGAATATGAACATATGTTCCGAGAAATTCGTGCACCTATACCACAAAAGATTACGAGTTTCATTCTGCAGGCCCGCAACTTTGGTCTTGTCTTTGAGATCGAAGACAGTTTTCAAAAAGATGATCCTGCTGGTCCTGTATTCCATCAATCCCTGTGCTCTCATTTTGAGAGGGTTGGCCTCGCATTTTCTGGATCCAATTCACATCCACCTTGTCATATCCCATATATTCACGCTTCTCTTCCGGACTTCGGACCCTTAGATCCGGTCCGGTCCGATGCATAGATCCGCGTCCGATCCGATATCCGTTAAGCTTCTTAATTCATTTCCTGTTCATATAACGTTAAACACAGCCTATTTGGTATTTCCTCTTCCCGGTGTCTCGGTTATACTTATTACCGGTATGATTACTGATCCGTTATCCTATGCTTCATTTCCGACTCGCGTTTGATAAGCTTTGCATATGCTTCGTACATAGCCTCGGACCTTTGCTTATTGATCCTTCCGTTATCCTCTTAGTATATAAACCCGTGTATATTTCCTGTAGTACCTCAGTTCGAATATCATCTTAGTTTGTCCTCTTTCTGTCCTCCAGACTTGAGTCTAAACAACTCTTGTCAATCTCTGAGACTTCAGATCGATTCCGATAGTCTACGTCTCCGCCTCTATCTTCGGATAGTCTATACTCTGTTTGTTTCTAGTCCGGATTCGTCCGGATTAGTCTTATACGTGTTTCCGATATCTGGAAGTCATCCGGATATAACTACGAGACTCGTCCAGACCTTCGGACGCGTTATCATTAAGTCTTTGAAATAAGGGACAGTACTTGGGAAAGGGGCACAGCGTACGAGCTGAGGCCGAAGTCCTTCGGATCCAATCCTACGAGAGTACGACCTTAACAGAAGTACAAAAATCTGAGCAGGTAATGGCTAAAGTGACGGCGAATGCTGAAACAAAGAAGACAGTGGTGGGAGAGGTGGGTGACACAAATTAATGTAGTTCTAGCGAGACGACGACAGCGGTCAGAACGAGGCGAACAAAGAATAAACCCAACTCGAATCTCACCTAGAGAGACGACGACAGTGGTCAGAAAGAGGCAAAGATTTCTGACTCAGGTCTCTCGCTCAGTAAGGGTGAGACACTCCACCATAGGAGGCGGGAGTTTTACAGGTATAGCAACAACCTGACACATGTAAGTGCATGGACCATAAAGGACCACATACGCATGACACACGCCCGCGTCGAGCGGAAGAACATTCGAGCAGACTCGAACAAAACATCATGTGACTACGCCATGCATCACTCGGTTGATTAGCTTTGTGTAAAACTTTTTACACTCAACTAAATGTTGTTACTGTCTCAGACAGTGTATTGTGGCCAGACTCACTAGCTATGCTCTGTTTCAGCTCTTCCTTGTCGTTGTATTGGGCCCGTATAATTGAATCCGTCAGGATCAAGATAATCTTACAGCCATTGTCTTTTATTGCAAGTTCAGTAGCTTGTATGTCTTGAAGTCTGGCCTGTCAGAGTATGCAACCACTAGTAGCATGGATTTGAGCAGCAAGCACGGATTGGGTATCTCTGGAGTCCGAATAGGAGTTCCATTGAGTCGTTCTGTCCATAATCCTCACACCCCATCCACCAATCCAGATATTTTGCAAAGCTAGTATGCTTCAAGTCATTCAATTCCTTCTGGATTTCTCACTACAGACGTGTTTGACTATTTTTGTATTTCTGCCAAAGCTAGCACTCCGGCTTATAGCTCTGATGAATGGAGCCCTATGGAGACCTCCCAGTCAGCTGAACAGTGCAGCTCCTGATGAACCTGTCGCTCCCCACCAACCTATGGCTTACCACCAACCGGACACACTATTCCTGCATGGCAAGATTCTACCACACACCAGCGCATTTGGTGTCTTGGTCTCAGACACCTACCAACACTTCCTAGCCTGCCACCCAACAATGAATCATTTGGCCAAGATGACTTTATATGCCTTGGTTACCAATCCAAGCATGGAGGACATCAATGAATGCATCGAAGAGATCAAGAGTTACCTTCACTCACACTTCCCCGCTATACAAGTAGTGACGCTAGAAGACTCTTATGGTGAAACTCCTATGCCTGAAACCTTCCCTGGATATAACCAGGGTCCTTTCCTGAGTCTCTCTTCAGCTGAAAGGCAGACATGGCGACTGCAGTTTTCCCTTCACAGCGATGTTTATGACTTGTATACTGGGGCAAGTACTCCTCGGGCTAAACAGTGAGTGTCATGATTATACTACTACTAGCTAGCTGACCTAAATGCTCAGGACTCTAGCCTTTTTTCTTTATCTGGTGATCATACACGAGTTGACTCATGTTGTCATGCTCGTGTTCTCATCTGAATCCACACCTACAAAGTTCTATGGGAGTAGGCCTTTGTACTCACTCAATGGCCTTGGGCTTAATGCCAGGGGCCAGCAAGTTGAGCGTGGAGAGTCAGGTGCAAGCATGGAGCAGGTAATCACTGGAGGAGAAGTGGTCTTATTGATGCCACATGGTCAGCACATGGCTGACTGTGATCCCAACTCTGTGGATGTTGGTATTGTGGGTTCTACTTCCTTTCAGATGCTAGGTATGTTGATTGTATTACTGCAATTCACTAGCACATGAAAACAGCTGACATTACTACTAGCAAATTCTCCATTCTTGTCCAACATAGCCTCTGGGCAGTGGGACTTGATCTTGCAACTGCCCATGCAATCCATTCCAGATCATATGTCAGTTTTACGCCAGAAGATCAGCGGCAGTCAGATACGCAGGAACCGCACCCCATCATCTCCAAGTCTTTCTACACCTGCCACAACACCTGTGAACCGTCTTGGGATGCTGCTCATCAATCCAGATATGTTTCCACCTTCTGGTGAGGGTGTTAAGACCGTGCACAAAGGGTAGGACTGATTCCAAGGGGCTTGGCTTCAGCTCGTGCGCTGCGCCCCTTACCCGAGTATGTGCCCTTAACCTCAGAATGAAGTCCGGAGAAAGTCCAGTGAAGTCCGAAGGACTTCCGGAGAAGCGTGGGAAACTTCGGAAGGACTTTCCGGATGAGTGTGAGAAACTTCCGGATGAGTGCGGGAAAGTTCCGGAGGAACTTCCGGAAATTACGATGGAGTTTCGTCCTGACGGGGATATGTGTAATGGCTACTCAGGACAAGTCCTGAGTAGAAGGAAACAGAGGAAAGGCTGCAAGGACAAAGTCCGAAGCAGAATAGGTCCGGAGGACCGCGGGAAAGTTCCGGAGGAACTTCCGGAAACTCGGAGGAATGGAGGATCGGATGAGTGGATGAGCGGAGGAGCGGAGGAGCGGAGGAGCGGAGGAGTGGAGGAGCGGAGCTCCGGCCTAGGGAATTCCTCCCTAGGCCTGAGATGGATAATGACTAAGTCGGAGGACTAGAACTGTTACGAGGACTTAGGGTGAAGGCTAGTGCGAGGACTAATATGTGTAATATTCAGACTGAGGAAGTACAAAGATTCTACAGAGTTTATATACTACAGAGGACTTAACGGAGAGTCAGTCAGTGCAGTCCGAAGCTATGCAAGGCTGTGGACGGAGGATGTAGCAAAGTCAAACACTAGTCTATCGGAAAATAGTAAATGAAGATGGAGATGAAGACATAGGAAAATAAAGCCGGAAATGAAACGAGGTACGGAAAATGAGGAAGTCTAACTCAAGAAGGAACATACAAAGGGATAAGGCACAGAAGATAGACGCGGGTCGGATCCGGAAGATAGACGTGGCTCGGATCCGGATGTTCGGAAGTCCGGAGACAGGTGATTACCATAAGGGGATGGGCGCTGATTTAAGGTTTGGGTTCGGACATGACAGATAGGTCGGATCCGGAGATCCGGAGATGTGGATATCAGATCTGGCGTCCGGATATCAGATGCAGGAGTACAGGGATCTGGACGGATAGAGGATTGGGTCTGGAGACATGGACAGGAGGTCCGGAGGTCCGGATGAGGCGTGGGAACGTCGTCGGATGTTGGTCCGGAATGCGGGATATGACAGAGGGTCACACTGAATACCATAGAAGAATGGCAAGGATGGTGGTTGCTGCACAGGGGGCAACAGGAAGGCGAGACCTTGTTGCCTGGGTCTCTCAGTTACGCGGTTCCACCTCAGCAAAGCATTAGTAAGCTATAAGTTTGCCAGTTTACCTTCAAGTTGGACTGTCCCTCCATGTTCCAAGATGACCTGTTTTTTGTATTTTATATCAGACTCTACCACCCATAACTTTATTTAGTAGTATGTCATTCGCACAACATCAGAAGATGTAACTGAGTGGTGTTCAATTCCATGCAAGTAAGTAACTAATAATGTGGAATATAAATACATGAAGTGCATGATGGTGAGGGGGCGTTATGGTGTGCGACAAAGCAAAGTATAATAAATCAGCATAAATGAGGCGACGACCGATGGCGGATAGAAATTAATGTACCCTGCACGTCACAGGTAAGGCTTGAAGTCAGCTCAAGCCCTTACTTAGAACCCGCCCATTCCCATGCCACCCATACCTCCCATGTCACCACCCATACCACCAGCAGGTTTCTCCTCCTCGCCATCTACAACGCAGCACTCACTCATTGTCAGTAAGCTCGCGACACCTGCGGCATCCAGGAGCGCTGTCCGTACGACCTTGAGCGGGTCGATGATACCATGTGTGATCATGTCGGTATACTTGCCCTTCAACGTGTCATAACCATACATGAATGAGTTGTTGGATGAGTTGATGAGCGTGCCGACAATGACGCTGGCTTCCTCACCCGCATTGGTGAGGATTGTGCGTGCGGGCTGTGCTAATGTGCGGCGGATGATGCTGATGCCAAGGCCTTGGTCTAAGTTGGCAGTTGGGATGATGTCAGGATCGGAGGAGGCAGGTTCGCCAGGTGCGGCAGTCTTCAGTGCAAGGCTGGCCTTGAGAAGTGCCGCCTGGGAGGATACCTTCCTCGACAGCTGCACGTGTTGCATTAAGCGCGTCGTCATACTGGTCTTTCTTCTCTCCAACCTCAACTTCAGATGATCCACCAACTTTGATGACAGCGACACCTCCTGAGAGCTTCGCGAGACGTTCTTGGAGCTTGGTCTTGTCGAACTCGGAGGTGGTAGGGTCGTTCAGGAGTGCGCGGATTTGCTCACACCGTGCAGAGATGGCATCCTTGGAGCCGGCACCGTTGAGGACAATGGTGTCCTCCTTGGTGATGGTGATGCTACCAGTGCTGCCCAGGAGGTCAGCTGTTGCATGCTCAAGTTTGATGTCCAGTTCGTCGGTGAAGACTGTGCCGCCGGTGAGGATGGCGAGGTCACCAAGGATGCTCTTGCGGTTGTCACCGAAGCCGGGTGCTTTGACGGCTACAACCTGGAGCTGGCCACGGAGCTTGTTTAGGATGCAAGCTGCGAGGGCTTCGTCATCTAAATCCTCTGCAATGATGACCAGTGGTCTGAGAGCAGAGGCAGCAGTTTCGAGAGATGGGAGGATGTCCTGCAACGAGGAGATTTTCTTCTCAGAGAGGAGAATGAAGGGCTTTTCGAAATCGACTTTTTGAGTCTTGACGTCGGTGATGAAGTATGGGGAGATATAACCGCGGTCAAAGCACATGCCCTCTGTCACTTCAATCTCGTCCTCGGTTGTCCGACCCTCTTTTACGGTGATGACACCCTCCTTTCCAACTCTCTCCATCGCTTGCGCAATCAACCCACCGATGTGCTTGTCACCGTTAGCAGAGATGGTGGCGACCTGTGCAATCTCAGCGGTGGTGGTAATAGTTTTGGTATTGGCCTCCAAGAACTGAACCACTTGTTGAACGGCTGCTTGAGCATTGCGATGGAGGTCCATAGGATTGCATCCTGCAGTGACATTTTTGACACCCTCAGTGTAGATAGCATGAGCGAGGACAGTTGCAGTGGTAGTACCATCACCAGCAATCTCGTTTGTTTTTTGTGTGACATCCTGAACCGTTGAGGCTGTTTGGGAAGCTGCGGCGGGAGATGGGTCACGTGACTAAGGTTGGCTGGTCCGAAATCGAAATCGAAACATGAAATCGAAAGCCTTACATAATGCGAAAAGGAAAAGCCAAAATTACAGAATATTTCGATCCTAGGATATCCGACTGTCCGACCCTATACCAGCACCCGCCCCGGATATGACTCAGCATGCGATCTACAAATAAACAACACCAAACACGCCACCTTGAACTGTACACCCCGCCCCCGCCCCCACCCTTTGTATCTCTTTCCCCACCCTCGCCCTTTGTGTTGTGGTGAATGTTGGAGGTGAGCCAGTAGGGAGGTGATGATACAGCAACTGCAGCACATCAAGGGCTGATGGTATTAGCATAGTCATTGAGTGCGGTGCAGGGAGGTAAGCATGTAGCGGCGCTGTTAAGTAGTGGCTTGGCCAAATGTAGTAATATCCCTGACGTTGTGCGCAAGGTGACTGACAGCGAGGACATGTGGGAAACAGCGAGCTTAATACATGATTATATTTTAACAGTATATTATGTGTTGTGATTGATGCATGGGAACGATGATTATTATGCTGGCATGGATGCGGTCGGACGGTCGGATGAGGTCGGACGGTCGGATATATAACAGGTCTCAAAGTTAAAATATGAAAGCAAAATAAAAGCAAAAGACACACGAACACTTCAAGCCATATTTAAGCTCCGCCAGAACCGATCTTAGGTAAGTGTAATACAAAGTCACTTCTTGATCGATATCGATAACGACTTGAATGAACGATGCCTCATACATCAGCGCGTCAACACATCTTGCAAGCACTATGGACCAAACAGGTCGATCTACAACTAGCGCGATACCTTGAATTAACCAAGATCGCTATCGAAGGACTGGAAGAGTGGGACGATAGTAGTTTGGGCTCCTCATCTGAGTCTGAAGATTCAGATAATAGCATGGGTTTGTCGTTGATATTGTCCGGCTCCTCCCTTACCGAATCACTTTTCCCGCTGTCGGTGTCCTCTGCGACCGAGATACTGACGGTGTCGCGTAGTTTCACTGAATTCAGTGACACGATCAAAGCCTTGCATTGTAGAAACAACAATACCGAGAGGAACAAATGAAGCTCCTGACTGTATCTGTAAATGTTGTAAGGTCGCGTGTTGCCTAGTCTGCTATACTTGAGACGACAAGTGCGTTCGACCCTAAAGGGGAAGCGAGTGCAGCAAGGATCTAGTAGTGCGCGCTGAAGGCGCTACTGGTCGGCCAATGCGAAGCGCGAGAATGCGCGCACCTGCGCGCAAGGCGCAGGAAAGCAAAGGTACGCGCGAGGCGCGGGAAGCGCGCATGCACGTGAGCGGAAACAAGTGAGAGTAAGTGTGAGTTTGCTTAAGTGATAATTGATGAAAAACAAGAGATGTGAGCGCGAGGTGTCAAAGAATAGATTTCAACTATAATCTGCTAGGTAGTAAGTGGGTGGTAAGTGGGAGGTAAAGTCCTAAGTTCAAAAGTTGGAAAAGTGGGTAATAGTATGTAATGCTGGCGCTTATATACGGCGCCTAAGCGCTGTCACGTGGAGCCGAAGTGCTACCGAGTAAGGTATGTAAAGCTATATGTAGGTAAGGGTCCAAAATAAAGGTGGAACGATACACAGATAAGAGAAATGGAAACATACGCACTAGAGAACTTGGTGGACAGTGGATGGATGCTTCCGGATGGCTGGCGCTATAGGGTGCTCAAGCGCGGGAAAGCGCGCGCGCGTATACATAGTAAAGCGTGGGAAGTCGTGCGCGGGAAAGCTGCGCCTCGTAAGGGAATAGCTGTGGATAGCACACAGAGTGATGCTACAAGTTCGTGCTATGTACTCCCTAGTGAATACTGCCATATCATGCAATGAGAGGCATGAGTCTCTACAGCGTGATGAAGTCGAGAAGAGTCATGTTCTCTTTGCACGTCCGAAATCGAGCCGTGCGCCACAGCTCCATCTGCTCGAGGAGTGGGCACTGGATCATCCTGAAAAATTTCGCCGTAAACTTCGCGTGGATCCCCCCGTCTTTGAGCACCTTGTGAACACAATTCTCGCTCACCCAGTGTTCCACAACAATTTGAATAACCCGCAGTTACCTGTCCCCGTGCAACTTGCGATATTCCTAAATAGTGCGGGTCACTATGGAAATGTGGCAACAACAGAGGACATAGCAGAATGGGCAGGCGTCTCGGCGGGGACAGTTTATAATTGTCACCGACGCGTCATGATTGTGCTCCTTCAGCATCATGACGCTGTAATCCATTTCGACCCGCTTTATGAGGATGATCAAATTGAGAGGGAGAGGGCAAAGACATGGGTCGAAGAGCAAACGTGTCCGGAGTGGAGGGGGGGATTTCTCTGTGTTGACAGCACACCGTTTAACCTGTTTCAAAAGCCCGGATGGCACGGAGAGGGCTTTTATGACCGTAAATCAAACTATTCACTATCAGCTCAAGTACGCTATGAATTGTAACGGAAAAACAAAACTAACATGTTCAAAAGGTCGTGATCATGCCGCATAACCTGCGCATCGTCGACTACGTCATTGGCGTTCCTGAGAGCGTGCATGATTCCAATGTGTTTTCAAAGGCCCGGATTGCGCGTCATCCTCAGACCTTTTTGGGCGGAAATGAGTGGATTTGGGTGGACACAGCCTATGGCTCTCGTCCATGGTGCATTGTGCCGTTCAAGCGGCCAGCAGCTGGTGGGTTAACCCGCGATCAAAAAACATTTAACTATCATCTATCCAAGGTAGGATGAATCGTTCTCGCGCACCAATCAACTCTAATATTTCCAGGTCCGCGTTCGCTCCGAACATGGTTATGGTTCATTGAAGGGACGCTTCCAGTCCCTTTGTGAACTGTGGATCCAAATCCAAACGCAACGAGACCTAGATGAGGCGAATATGTGGACGCGGTGCTGTTTAATTCTTCATCACATGATAATTGAAATTGAAGAAAAACTTACCACTGATTCATTTGAGCACTTCGCTCATGAAGCGAGGCAGTGGGGCAGATGCAAAGATAGCAGGGAGGAAGATGGTGGCAAAGATGGCAAAGATGGCGCTGGAGATGAGAGTTATATTGGTTCAGAAGGGCAAATTTTTCATAACAGACTAATGGGTCAATTATTGCGCAGATCTCAACAGTGAAAGTGTAGGTACATACCTCTGTAATAATAGTATCCTCGGCCTTGTCAACCAAGGCACATCTTGTTGGTAACTCGATTGCAATTTCGAAGGGTCGAGGTACCCAGTTTCGGGTTGTGGGGCATGACATGGAGATGTGGCAGGATGAAGATGAGTTCAAGGGAGACTGGCTTGATGCTACCTTGGATGACCTTGAGGCGTGTCTTGTTTGTAACTCGATTGCGATTTCGAAGGGTCGAGGTACCCAGTTTCAGGTTGCGGGGCATGACATGGAGATGTGGCAGGATGAAGATGAGTTCAAGGGAGACTGGCTTGATGTTACCTTGGACGACCTTGAGGCATGTCTTGTTGGTAACTCGATTGCGATTTCGAAGGGTCGAGGTACCCAGTTTCAGGTTGCGGGGCATGACATGGAGACGTGGCAGGATGAAGATAAGTTCAAGGGAGACTGGCTTCTGGGCATGAGAAATGGTGAGAGAACAAGAGACATGTATGTATACACGAAGTCAGATACATGTATACATAATTAGCTACAAGGAAAAAACGGGCCTAGAATGCAGTATGAATTTGTAAGAACTTGAGGGGCGGAGGAAAATAGCACAACTGTTAGTTACCCTGATGAGACATCTCCCTCTCCAAAGCCAACCATTCCAACTTCACTTGCTCGAGCTTGGTTTCTAATTCGAGTTGCCTCGTCCGTTCATCCGCCATGGCACGCTCGTGACTCTGAGCGGCAGAAGTACTCCGGAGCATGTGTTCACGCTCGTCTCGAGTGACACGGGCTTTAAGCTCAAGACTGGCCAACTTGGACTCCATCCTCAAACACTTGTGTCCTTGGCTGTAGATGAATCCTGAATGTGCCGCATGAGGGAGTCTGATGCGTCGTTGAGCTTGGCACTGAATTCAGAGACGGGATCACATGGCTGCTTGCGAGAGACGGATCTGCTAGATGGTGAAGGGTCGGAGTCCTGATCAGACGATGTGTGACCAGGATGGTGAGTGCCACTGGCTTTGCGTGAATGTACTGTTAGCGTTTTCATCATCCGGCTTGCTGCTGTATCGGAGTCATCAGATGAGGGCTCTATCTGCTGGTCTTGAGGGATGATGGTCCTGGTATTGCCTGAGGAGATGGTGGACGGCAAGGGATACTTTCGCACACCGTCCTCTGGCTCTGGAGAGTTGAGATAAATAGTAGGCCTCGATGTGTCGTATGATTCGTATCGATGTGGGATATGACTGGGCGTGGTCGAAAATCTGAGAGTGTCGGCTGCATGATGAGGGAGGGGTTGGATGATGATACCTGAGGAAGCCATGATGACGGACCAGACGAATTGTCTCCATCATCCCAGTCAGGCCAGTCCTGATCTTTGTTGGTATGAGACAGGAGGGGGACATCATTAGTATCGTCCATAGGAAAATCATCACCCTCCCCCTGGTGTATCCCCTCATCTAGGATTTGGCCGGGCTCAAGCTCCTCATTCTCAGCATCTGTGCCATCTTCATCATCCATGGGTGGAGGGATCTCCTTCCCTTTGCCCGTCCCAAAGTGACCTGCGGCCTCCGCTGCAAAGTCCTGGCCTGGATCGGCTGTCGAAAACGAAGTGTTATATGTAGGGTTGGTTCTCCACCACCCACGGAGATCAACCCACCACGGGAATGCTACCAAGAGCTGGTCTAAAATAAATTTAGAGTCTACACTAGCATTAGAGATGAACATACATACCAAGAATTCCCTTCATCTTCTCATTCCCGCTGATTGCCTCAAAGGACAGACCAGCGCCAGTTTGGCCAAGTTGCACGTTAATCTCATTGTACTTTTTTCGTAATCTAAAATAGCTAGTTAGTGGCCAGTCTGCACTGAAATTACCATGACGGTAGTCATGAAGGACTCACGATATAAAGCGGCTTTGAATTGGCTTCGTAAAGGCAAGGGGATGCGCTCTAAAATACTCCCTGACCTTCGGATCTTCATCATTCTGGAAAATTGTTGTCGCAAGCTGCTGCAAGTATACGTTCTTCTGCGTAGTCATCTGTTGGCGTGTGCGTCCTTCCTCCTTCGCATCCTTCACAGAATCTGAAAATATTTTGAGCCGAGCCTCTTGATTAACTTTGCACCACTCGATAAGGCGAGCAGTCCGCGGACTGTTCTTCTTGTCCCAGTGTATGGTAGGTGGCTTTAAACGATCTCCTGATCCTGCACTGATGGGCAGGCTAGCACTTGGAGGAGTAGAAGATTCGGTCACTAATCCGTGACTACCACGCTTCGCCGAATGGCCCCGAGATCCACGTCCACGACTACCAGCACTGGCTGTAGCCCCCCGCATGATAAATGTGACACGACAATGAGAACGACCACGACAACGACAACGACAACAACGACAGCGATCACCGGCACAAGTTCTGTCGGAGTCTGAAAGACGCCGAAATTTTCAAGTCATGCCGAAGTTTTTCGTTTGTTGTAGTTTTCATATATTTTACTTTGAGACCCGTTTATATATCCCAGGATCGAGATGTCCTCCAAAATTAGCACCCGAAAGCGAAACGAAAGTTCGAAACCTTGATTGAAATCGCTGTGAATTTTGTCCGCTGGCGCCCTTCATACTGGTCCGCCAAAAACATGTTCACCTACTGTAATTTAATTGTTCAATGACAAACCTATTTATGACTTTATCATGGCGCTTTAGGAAGGTTTCTTCCGTGAGATTGGATGACTTCTTCATAAATTTTTTATCATTGCCAATAGGTTTGCCCCCCGGGCGGGGCCTTGTAGCATCACTCACATGCCGTGCGAACGTGTATTTTCAAATCCAGCAAAGAAACATGCACACTCCGTCGAAGCAGACTCTCACCACGAGTAATGGAAGCCCTCCAGATTCTCAAGTTTTCTTACAGACAGGAGAGACATATTAATATTGTGGGACACATCGATGAGATCAACGTCGTAGACCACATTTCGAAATTACATAACCCAACTTGTGCGTGATCGGTCCGATAGAAAGTAGTACCGCATCAGTGGTGGCGGTGAACGTTGAACATTCAAACTGTGGCCAACCCAATTCTTGAGTCGACTCAGGTGGACTCCTGCAAACTATCGCATCGGATTTCTCGCCTGAATCCATGTTAAAAGTGTTCGAAATTCCTACGTGCGCGCTTGCTCCGTCTTATGGAACCAATCGCTGAATCCCCGTGCCTCTGGCAGTTGCATCCCTGATCTTACTGATCACATAGTCAAGTGTGAATATCCTGAGGCTACTAATAGTCATAAGTACCATATCTGCAAGTGCACCTGGGACCGGCCGAATCATTCTCCAGTATGTGTTACTAGTCAAACAATCAGCGTGAACTGATAATTCTCATATCTTCAGGTCACGGTGGCAGTCAAGGTTATCAGGGTACTACAACCTAAGAACATCCTGGATCTTACCGAGAGATACGACGAATTACTGCAAGAAATCAAAGTATGGGGCAGACTTCAGAACGAACATATTTTGCCTGTGCTCGGATACGTATGCGGACATGGCCATTTACCTAGCCTTGTGTTTCCGTGGATGGAGAATGGGAGCTTGACTAACTTCTTGCGTGAATATGAGTCCTTAGAGCGTGGTGAACGTTTTCGCTTGGTAAGTTCCTTTGAATATGATGGGATTCACGCACAAATAAAATTTCCGTATGTTCAGCTGCAAGATATCGCCTCGGCACTGCAATATTGTGTGTCTGCACTCGTTTACAAAAGTATAGACTCTTAAGTGGATTTTTTATTCTAGTACATGCTATCGCAGTGGTTCACGGAGATCTAACAGGTGTGAGTTGTTACCAAAACTAACAGGGCAGACGAGCACTGATTATCTCTGATGTGCTGGTGCATCAGGACAACATTTTGGTCGACTCGCATGGGCGTGCTTTTGTAACGGGCGTCGGGCTTTCCAAGAGGCTTAACGAGATCGCCTCCAAATCAGAGTCTAGTTCGAACGACACCCGTTTAGCCACTATTCGCTGGATAGCTCCCGAGTTGGTTGATGATGATGAAGAGACCTTTCCCACTTCCAAAAGTGATGTATGGTCTTTTGGTTGCAATATGATTCATGTACATCAACTCGTCCATCGACATTTAAATCTACATTATGTATCTAACAACCATCTTAGGTGCTCTCTGGGCAGTTGCCTTGGTGGTCTATTCGATCAAACCACATTCCCCTCCGATTGCTTGCAAGAAAGGTACCACCACTACCACCAGTAATTGAGGATCAGGTCCAAGATTCATCCTTCCTCCGAAAATGCTTCTCTTTTCCACCAGCAGACCGCCCTTCCGCCGATCAGACACTGGTCTTTGTACGCGAAACACTAAGGACGGGAATGCCGCAGACTGCGGAAGTTGTGGTGGTACGTTTGCTGAATAAGTGCTCATATGCAAGCTGATCGCTATATCAGCATTATCACGACCAAGGCATTCCTCCTGTTGATCAGCATGATCACGACAATGGCATTCCTGCTGTTGTGGCCGAGTTCAAACGACGTGCTTTTGATTTGGTTCCATCACATTTGATCCATATCCCAACCATGGAATTGATCCCGCGGGACAAACTCATTACAATACTGAAACCAGAGACGATCACTGAGGAGGACATCCGTCAGTGCGGAGGATGGTCGAGGGAGTCTGCCATAGAGTCAGCTGTGGTCAACCTCCTCAAATATGCCATTCTATCACACCGATGGGGAGAATCGGAGCCGACATTCCAGGACCTAAAACGCGAAGGAGCGGGTTACAAGAAACTGGAGAAGTTTTGCGCAAAAGCAGAGGAGTATGGTTGTGATCTCGCATGGTCTGATACCTGCTGCATCAACAAAGAAAGCAGCTCAGAGCTTGATGAAGCAATCCGGTCAATGTACATGTGGTACCACGAGGCCTATATATGCATAGTGCACCTGGCTCAGACAAATTCGTGGGATACGCTGGAAAACGACGAGTGGTTCTTTCGTGGCTGGACCTTGCAAGAACTTCTTGCACCCCTTAGGATGAGGTTTTATTATGGCCCTACTTGGACGCCCCTTACACAGAATCCTAACGACAAAGACGACGCGAAGGTTGTTCGTACTCTTTACCGCGCTACCAAGATCCCTGAAAACGACCTGCGCAACTTTCGCTCCGGGCCAAATCGTGCATGGGAGAAGATGAGTTGGGCAGCGAGTCGGAAGACAACCCGTGTTGAAGATGTTGCCTACTCTCTTACTGGTATCTTCGACATCACCATGACGGTCGCATATGGAGAAGGAGATCGAGCTTTTAAAAGATTCATGGCAGAGCTTATCGAGAAGTGCAAGGAATGGCAAATTCTTGTGTGGGCCGGCGGACTCCCTGGATGTCCAACAGGGCCTTCCTGTTATCGCACAACAGACGAGGCAGCACTCGAGATGCTCAAGAACCACGAGATCTCGTGGTGGGGAGAGGGTTGTGGCGATGACGACTTCTCAATTACAAAGCGTGGCGTGCAGGTCAAGCTATTCATGGTCCCTGCCTCCATTGACCAGAGCCTCTGGCAGTCGGTATTCCTTTCCCGTCCCACTGGCGGCCTCATGACATCACCGCTCGACGAGCTGGTCGTGCAATCTCCTTTCTTTCCACCTGCATCTACGACGGAATGGGCGATCGGGGTTGTTAACTATCACGACCATGATGACACTATGAAAGGAAAGTTGAAAGCGGGACAAATTTATATATGTTTTCTCTTAAGACGGTTTTGTCGCCCTGGCCTGGATACCGTGCGCAACCACTGGAGAAGGGAGGTTACGGACAAGATTCTGACGGTTTGTTGCAAACATGACTTCGAAAAAGAAGTGGAGATCGTTTGGTTATAAATTCTAGAATAGAATGTGGTAGAAAAAACGTGTAACACATACAGTGGAATCCTCGATGATCATGCACATGTTACGAATGGCTCACGGTGTATTCAATGAAATTGATTCGTGGTGGTGTGCCCCCAGCCCGATTGCAGTATCTGTGTTGATGCATGAATGCATGACGAGCCGTGATAGCGCTGGTTTATGTAACGTCGTCGCTGCTAATATTGCTTGCCAATTGCTAGACAATTGAACATGTCAACTAACACCGTGACTGTCGGTCAACTTGTGAGCTCAGGCGCCATTATGTGCTGACAATAAAAGCTAGCGACATGGTAAAAAACGCGGTTGCTGTTGAGCGCCGAAGCCCGAATGTATGGTGGATGTTTGGTTACAGTTCGACTTCCCGAGATGCCGCACGGATTTTCAATGTCCGATTGCTGTTTGGTTTGAGGAATATTGTTTCTTCGATTTTATTTTTTTATTTAATGTATATCCCTAGTTACCTTGCATATGGGCTGTCACTCCATATCCCACTCCATGCTACCGGCATCCGTAACGACGCTCACGCGCCAAGTCCCCGACTCCGCTGTGGGACCCCATGATGCATTCATTTGTCTCCATGTCTCTGGTATTTTTGCATTCTATTCTATCTCTCGTTGGGTGTCTCAGTCGGGACACCGTTTTGCAAAATTCTGTTGTGGGAAAGTGCTGACCAATGGACGGTACTTGTAATCCTGCTGGCCTTCTGAGCTGAAGAACTCTGAATCACTTCTACTCGCTCCATCCACCACGCATATCAATCTGCATGCCTTCTTCTTTGTCCGAGGTTCCGACTCAACTTGGCTTGCAGAGTCTACACTCTGACCGGTACCGCCAAGTAAGTCATTATTATTATTGTATACTCCCCCGTCTTCCCATTCGACATCTTCCTGGGTTGTCAAGCCTTTTGTAGGCCTAGCGACTCGGTAGGCTGCATGTGCTCGGAGATGCTTTCTGTAGGCTGACCTGAGGTAAACATGTGTGGCGGGGCATGGCCCAACCCTTCGACATTCTTCTGGTGCACCGCACAGATTTTATATCGCTAACACATTCCTAACATTATTTACAGGCACTAGTTACCTCTGCCACATTGCTACATCGAGTTATGTCCTGGAAGCACCTGCATCATCTGGTGCACCCCTCAGCGACTTTTTAGCTGTCGTGCCTCCTTGAGATGATGAATCTGCCTTTCGCTTCCCTTTCGGATCTGCAGCCTGCTCTGTTGGTTTCGGCGAGAGAGTCTTGGGCGGGCCAGAGAGTGGCAGCAACCTGAGGGATTTCAGGCTGGTCTGGTAGATCCTGCTACCAGTGGGCCGTTGCTCATCGGGCGCGAATGTCCATCTTGCACATGGTCAGTTCATTTCTGCCTTACTCAATCTCGCCACTCACAAACGCATCACCACCTCTACTACCACAGGCATATCCATGGTGAATCTCTGCGAGTAGTGCACAGGGTGAATTAGAACACCCTCATCACCCGCCCTCGTATTCTCACTCACACTCGCATCCTCACCCACCCTTGCATCTTTCACCCGCCCTCGTGTCTTCACCCGCCCTTGTATTCTCGCCCGCCCTTGCACTCTCACCCTCACATGCACCTGATGATCAGAGCGCCCAGTACACAGGCGCGTTCATGAACATTTTGCTTGAGAACCTGGAGAGCAACGTTCTTAACGAGACTATCGACACGTCTTCGTGTCCCTCTCAGACGGTGATAGCTATCTAGATATAAGTATACACACTGTCTACTTTTGCAATGCACTTCAGTGACAGCCTCATGCATGCATCTCTATGGCGGTCTCTTAGTAGCACTCTGCTTGGCCGTGAAAGTAACTCGCAAGATGAACACTATGATCAGGCAATTTTATACAGCAAGAATGGTAGTGTGCCGAGTACTAAAATGCTACTCAACGAAAGGTTGCAAGCCGAAGACGCGACAGAACTTATTACATATATGTGTGGTCCTGAAACTGTTAAAAGCAGATGTGCAGTTTCCTCCACCGAAATTGTTCACGAAAGCTCTAGAGAAGGCTCGTGTTAGTATGACAGTCCAAGGCTTAGTAGTAGGCACAAACTCACGAGCCTGTTAGCACTTGGCAATCTGTAAGGAGGTTACCAGAACCTATGCCAAGTGTGGTCAGTTAGCTGTGCGTGACAGTCAGGTGAGGGGTTGAGGACTTGCCTTGGAAATCAGATAGATATACCATGTTGTTAGTAAGGTGATACTGCACGTGTTGAACAAAGCATAAAAACAGTCCAATGACTGCTTCTCTGCCCTCTAGACTATGGGCAGGGATGGCGGAGTTGTTGTTGATGTACTTGATGAATTTTCCGCTAATCCGCTCCTCAATGAGATAGTTTGCGCCGAGGTCGTTGTTGGGGTCGTCGGGAATGGCTAGTGCCGCACGAACCAGCCTTAGATGTGGTAACTCAACCTCGACATCTTGGCTCACATTGCCAGTCTTGAGCATCTCGTCAATGAAGGTGTACGCCATACCGAGCAATGATGTGCCCCAGTAAAGGCAATTCACCTCATCAAGCGTCTTTTCCAGCTCATCCTCCCTCGCAAAGCGGCAACGCCCCATGGTTTGGCCCTTCCGAAAAAACACGCGTTTAGCTACAACCTGCTCGGCTGACAGAACAGATGGTGGCGGTGATGTAGACATGGATGGGACAATGTCTGTGTTTGAAATCAAGGCAGGGTGACACGTTTTGAAGCTTCCTGCCAAGCCAATCATAGATTTGGAGCTAGTGTCGATGGTGAGTGCGGCGACAGTGTACTTGCTATCAGTAGTACTGAATGGCGTAGAAATGAGCGCTGCGAAGCCAATGGAAGGGATGTCGAAGAGACGAAAGGTGATAGGGACACATCCAGCACCTGTCATCACATAATGTGAGCTAGTTGACCGATTCTAAAAGTTCAAGGCACGTACCTATAGTAGAGGATGCTTGTTTTCTAACATTTCCCTGAGCTTTCATGGCCGCTTGTAGTTGAGATTGGCTGGGTAAGATGGCGACACGGGCGTTTGCATAAAATTTGGGTGTGGGGTCCTTAGGCGTTGCACGCACGAAGAATTATTGTAGGACTGGTTCATTAGCGCCAATGGATGGTTGTCTCGGGTCGTAAAGAATCAGCTTTGGTGATTTGTGCATTTCCAGGCTATAGAGGGAGAGAGAGTGGCTGCGTGACCACTCTGCCCATAATGGTTTGAGCTGGTTGATTACCTCGGACTGGAGCTGAGCTAGGGTGATGTTGAGCGCAACACGCACATCACGTTCAATATTCTGTAAATTTCGCAAGTTGAGAGCAGTGCAAGTTAGAATTGATATGACCTACACCAACTAACACTGTGCCCGACTTTCCCTCTGGTTTCAGGTGATGTAAGGCGACTCGAATCATGACTTGATGGAAGCGCCCTGACGATGCTGCCTGAGCCATCTTGCTGCGATGCAGCTGGTGCACGGCATGATTGGGTGTATATCCCATGCTTGCGTGTGCAGGAACTGGAGGAGGAAGCATTTTTCCGTGGTCACCTGCCAGCATGTGGGCTGGATGGCCGAAGCGCTGACTGGGAAAGATGTTGTCTATAAGATAGTACTATTAAGCTTCATACACAAACCGGAAGCCCTCAGAGCATGACAAACCTCCACGTTGCGCTGCTGACATTGCTTTTACCAGCTCATGTCTCGAGGGCTCAGCAGCTGTGAAGTCTGTGACATGAATGATAATGAATTTGATTAGTATTGGACTTAGACTTGGACTCATCAAAGTTGGACTCACCGATGCTTGTAGCTTGCTGGCCTCGAGTCTGTTCTATAGCTTTACGTCCCTCATAATGCTTTGCACAGGTCGGGCAACACGTACGGCCTGAGCCGTCTTTACCACGCACATATGTAAATGGTACAGTTGATTCGAAGCGTGTGTTGCAACGCTGACAAAGTCTCCAGCTGTTTGGATTCATGGGAGTAAAGTCTGCCATGGTGGATTCAGAGGACGAGCAAGGGATGCTGGAGGCTTTTGAACCATGTTAGACATATAATAGTCCAAGTGATTTTCCGAGTGATTCGCAGTCACGGTTGTTCTTTTGAAGTGTGATTCTCAAGTGGTCGAATAAAGGTGTCTGTCTTCCCAGATCCTGTAGCCTGATAGCTAGCCCTTTGACGCACTGGACCGACTGACTGAGCCTGACTCAAACACATCAGAAGACATCATGATCAACATGAGACCGACTAACAGAAATCTCTTGCTTCGAGCATCATGATCCTGAGCAGTTGTTCGAGGGAAAGCAAGAAGAGTTTGATAAGGTGGTATGCAATACTGACACCAGTGATACCAGCCTCGAACAGGAAATCAATTGTACTACAATATCAATGGCACCAACAGATGCGGACTAAGATAGACTACAGTACTACTCGACTTGCTGAATCTAAATTGCCTCCTCATCTGTCCAGGTAAACTCATAGAAGTCAGACTCTTCATCTGATGAGTTGACTGCCGCAGATTCACCAGTGGGTACACGATATCCAGCCCCTTCGACAAATGGCGGTAAATCCAGAACATCCATCTCCTCAGACCCAATTAGTTTTTCACCGTTGCACGGGATTTTTGGCTGTGCGGTGATGACACTTCGAATGGGATCCTCGCCTTCAATGGCTCTAAAGCACATAAGAAGACCTGAATACGTGTCCCAGATATTGTCACGAGTCAGTACAGTATGACCGAGCTCAGACATGAATGCTGTAGCCTGCTGGGAGAATTCCTGGGGTACCAAGAGAAAAACGGGGTGATCGGAAGGAGCATATGTTTTCCGGACCTGCTCAAGTGAGGAATTATCGACGATCACCTGCAAAACATTAATATATGGACAAGAATGTGTCTGACAGCTTACAGAGAAGTCCCGACAATCAAATTTCTCAGGGCAATCGAAGATATCATTGGGGCGACCATGTGGTAGGATTTTGTGCATGTTGAAGCGGGGTTTAGTGTTGTTGAACTTATCGGCAAAAAGATCGAGCTCATGCTGGAGCCACGGAATGAAAACAAAGTGAAATACAAGTCTATGTTCCACACAGCGTTAGTGCAAGAAAATATCAAAGACATAAAAGAAAAACCTTTCGAGTGCATCATCCAGGTTATAGATGCCTGCACTCAAACCGAAATCGAGAATATCTTCGAAACCTGGAGTCCAGCGACGGCGCAATTGGCTCCAGAAAATTTCTGGCTTTATATTGCGATGGTCGCCTCTGAACTTGTGCTGCAGGGTGCGTGCTAGACCTGGATCTTGAAGATGACGAAGCATGGTGTGACCATTCGCAATCCCATTGTTCTCTGTGCCTGGATCGCTTTGGGTAACGAGAGGCATAGCTTGAATGATTGCATTAGTAGGCTGACAATTGAGACTGGATGCAAATAATTACCTCCAAGGCTTTGGACCGTGTCACAATACCAGCCACAGATCAAGCGTGGATTGTGATTGGTCCACCAGATCTTGAGCCAGAGTATTCGCCCTGAGAACGGCTCGATACCAACATGTAGGAAGAGCTGAAAACGACGCCACTTGTCGTGTTGGTCAAAAACCCAAATGTCGTGAAGACCTGCAGTCCAAAAGGTGCTGCGTTTGAGCCGGCGACTCTTCCGGCGCTGAACTTCATCCGGATGGTGAAGGTTCATGTACCACAGTATTAAGTCTCTGAAAACAATTCAATCAGTGTAAATGTGTCGCAGCAGAGCATCATATACAACCTTGGAACCATAATATGTTCCTCTTGCCTAAGGGTTTGCTTCATGTCGTGCGAGCCCTGTTTGGGGAACCGTTGACGAACACGCTCGACGGCAGGTCCAATGCTTTCAATCGTGTGCGCTTGACCACGGGCAGATGTAACTCCCCACTGCGAACGTCGCTTTTTCAAGAGGCTCAGTCTGATAATGCAAACGTCAGAAGCTCTGTTTGAAGGTATGTTTAAGTAGCTATGACTCACGATATATTGAACTTGCTAGTCTCCTGGTGTGCCCGAAGACGAGAGATGATCTCTTGATTGCTGTAACCATTGGCAACATACTGCTCTACAAGCGGTCTTATGATTGCATCTGGAGCTGCAAAGTAATTAGCGCCAGTGTGATTGAGTTAACTGAACCCAGTTTCAAATGCACTTACGACTAACAACACCTCTCCCATTTTTGCCTTGCGGGTTGGGCATTAGAGCAAGCCTTGAAGCGCCAGCCTGCGTCGGTGGTTCAATGAGAAGATCTATTGATACAATGAACCATGGATTCACAACTTACAACCCCCTCTGGACCGCTGAGGAATTTAGATTGCCATTCTGTACAAAATCGCTCTAGTAGAATATAACTAGGGATATACACGAAGAAACAATATTACTGGAACCAAACAGCAATCGGACATTGAAAATCTGTCCGGCATCTCGGGAAGTCGAACTGTAACCAAACATCCACCATACGAATGAGAGCAGTAGTGATGATAGTCTTTCCAACGTCTGTGTTCGCTCCGAATACTTGGTGGATTCGAAGGTGCTTGTAGAGATGGCTCATTTCATGGCAATTGCGATCCCAACGTTAGTGGAGGTCGAACACAATCTCAGTTTGCCAAGGGCTTGTTCGGTTGCAATGATTACCTGTGACAGTGGTCAAGTGTCGGAGTTTTAGTTGAGATCGCTGTGGTTGAACGTAAGCGAATCAGGAATATTGTCCCGACAAGACCACGAACATTCCGCGACATCATTCATCATGATGGAAAGTCGTACACTGCTACCAGGGCAGAGGTGCTCTGGTACCCGGACACACTCTCAGAGACTCAGACCCACGTCGGGCACTAAGCAACAGGCTTTGCCACGTAGTAAGCTGAGATATTTCCCGTAAACGACGCTGCCAAAAGTGACAACTAGCAGATCATCGATGCCGTGTGGTACGCTTATAAGGTGGTCGACCGTCATATATCATACTCACAATTCTCAATGCGAACTTCATTCACGGGGGCCCTGGCTGCATCATGGACTTTCCCGGCTCTTTCGGGCCTATGACTGGGCTTTACTTAGATGCATGTTTACACACATCTTACAGATCTCTTACGCTCAGAAGTCTCGACTGTGAGACTGCAACGATGATTGGTTAATGTCCTCTGAGACCAGATCATCACTGCTAATTCCGCGAGGTCAAATTAACTAGCGTGAGTTATATCACGTTGCAACGCTTACTAGTCTCTCGTAGCCAAACCTTACAGTCACTCTTTCTTTTTCAAGGGTAGGTGTTATGGTTATCAGGTGAGTATCTGCGCTTCTCGAAGAATTTATGAATGTATTTTTTGTAAGTCATCAAAAAGCTTCATCCCACTCCAAAATCACAAAGCGTCAGATGACATCGCATCGGCTGCGGGCCACTGATTTCACAGTTACATTCCCTTTAGTCGACGGACTCGGAGCGCGCATTTTTTTATATCTCTGATAACACTGCGGCCCAGCAATCCCCTAAAAATCACGCTCCCCCCAAGTGAGATTGGAAATGGAGACACAATTATCTCCATACTTACCTAGGTTCCAAGCTTCCAGCGTTGCCGCTTCGAAAGGACCACGTTTGCCGCTTCATTAGCAGCCTATCTGATAGCATTTGATCTGGTTATAGGATATTGCCTCCGAAGGGATTATATCGAGCGCGAAGTCTCTGGTCATGTAGTTGCAACGTGATCTGCACAAGATCAACGTTATGTGGCGATTGCTCTACAGTCATGGCATGTCATGTGGGTGCCAGCCCGGGGACGGTCCCGTATAGCATACAAGACTCTCCTTCGTCGACGAATCGACATACGTCATAGACCATAGACTAGTATAAGTACAGGGTACATGCAACCCATTCTTTCTCCAATCTTCAATCTCTCTACAAGTTTTCACAATCACGATGAGCAGCCTGTCCACATCCACTCTCGATAGCAAAGTACGTGCTTGTGTTTTAATACCCTTCCATGTCCCTATTTTGATGTTGAATATAGGTTCTAGGAAGCATCCGCCAGTCCATCACCGGATTTCTTCAGCGTTGTGGTTTGCAATATAAGAATGGCCCGCTTGACGAGACGTGGTACTCCGAATGCTGCCAGGAGGCCACCAAACGAGGCTATCCGATGGACGCCATCCTCCCATACATGGCCATTGGCGCGGCCGTAATGTCCAACGCTTACGACCACCTCCCGGACAATGCAACCAAGATGTGGATCTGCCTCTTCACCGCCATAGGCGCCTGCATCGACGACATGATGATCAGGCCAGAATATATAGTGCATGTGTACCATTTCAACGAGCGCTTCGCGAATTGCCAGCCGCAGGGGCATCTAGTTATGAGTGCGTATGACGGGCTCTTGCGGGAGGTCGCTTGTTATTATTCTGCACCGGTGTCAAATTTTATCGTGACGTCCGCGCTCGACTTTGTGTCTTCCATTTTACTTGACAATGAGACCAAAGATATGACGGTATGGTATCTCTCATATAAAGGAAGCGTCGATCTGTAACCCTTCATGTGAACAGATCTCGCCGCGGACTCCCTCATACCCCGAGTATTCTAGGATGCTATCAGGCATACCGTATGCGTACGCATACTGTGTTTTTCCTTGCACACTCCCGCTTCGTGAATACGTTCAATGCATGCCGGATCTAGCCATAGTCTTAAACCACGCAAAGTGACTACTACATCAATGATTTTCTGTTAACCTTTCTGACCTGCCATGATTCAGTGATATATTGTCACACTACAAAGAGGAGATCCAAGGCGACACCGCAAACTACCTGTCGCTCATGGCAGCCTCTCGTGGTCTGACCAAGCAGGACGCTCTCCAGGAACTCATCGAGAAAACTGTGCAAGCACATCAAAATATCCTCGAATTTCTGAGACCATGTCCTGAGGCACATGACGCCTATGTCGCATTTTTCGATGGGTTTATCAAAGCCCATACTACCGTAAAAAGGTACAAGCTGGAAGAGGTCATGTCGGAAAGGTCATCTTCTTAATGGATACCGTTCTTACGGTCCTTCTCAACATTTTCTGTATGTTGATCACCTATTCAAGTAGAGCGCTAGCTATCACGTTTACAATATCTGCCAGGCGCCATTAGATTTCCTGCCCCTTAAGCTCTTGCTCCCTCCAGTTCCGAGTGGTTTGATGAGAATGTGTGCATTTTTCCCAACGTACTTATTACCTCTGGGCTAATTCAGTGTATGTAAAGTCATTGCTGTAAATATTAATACACTTCGCACTGCATTTTTATAAGTTGACTCCACTGAATAATACAATTACTTGGTAGTTCCTGCCCTTACACAGCCTTTAGTCTGTCATTGACTCGGCATGACTATGATAGGTGCACCGTAATAAATAACAGCAGGATTGATCATCGTATGGTAGTAAATCTCCTTTGCTAGTCAGTACAGTGATGTCCTACATATACATATGCATGTCTTATTTATTTTACCTGACTTTCACTTGCCAAGCCCGAATGGCCTGATTTTTTCCTGGGTGACATATAATGGATTCGGACTGCTGTTAGCGTCTGGTATAGTCAGGGCTCAACATTTGTAAACTTTATTGCCACGAACTTGAATGCCTCAATGCAGCGCAACATCTGCATCAACAAGGAGAAGCGACGTGACCCCAATGTAATATCAGGATTCTTCACAAAACATCGATCATCAAACAAAGCGATTATCCTACTTGCCTCATCTAGCACAAGTATGTATGCAACGTACAACAGCCCCAACTTCTTGACCATCCGTCGAATTAACCAGATTTCCAGTAAGCAATATCTCCGTCCACCACTGTCGTCCGTCCATCAGTGATAGTCTCAAGGAAACGACGGGAAGAACCCACTCTCATAAGGCTTGCCTTGCTGTCTCAGTTTACCTGCAGCCTTCACAGCAGCTTCGCTTCCATTCTCCTTAAGGTCCTCGTACGTCATGATTTCACCACAAACGAACTTGTTCTCAAAGTCCGAGCTGCATAAGTGTGAGAAGAGGTAGAATAAAAATAAAAATCAGCATACTGAATAACACCGGCCGCCTGAGGCGCCTTTGTCCCCTTGCGAATCGTCCATGCACGCACTTCATCAGGTCCACAGGTGAAGTAACGGATTAACTGTGATTAAAAATTCGGATCAATGACCGATCAGCGACCAACGGATGAGACCCACGTCAAGACTGGAATACCCCGCCTGTGTTATCTTGCCGAGGGCACTCTGTGCTCCCGGTTCCTTTTGAGCCTCGGCACGCTCATCGTCTGGAAGTTGCGCAAGACGTTCCTCCAGTGATACAGAGAATGGGATGAGAGGGTCCCCGGGGTTGTGTGCGTCAATCCAGCCCTTGATCTTGGCTAACCTGTATGCGGGTGTGGGCTGTGGTGACAAAGAGAGTTGGATAAAAGCTGTACCACTTGTTCTTCTTGCGGATGTAGTCCTTCTCGCTGAGATTGACGAGGTAAGTGATAGGCTTGGCAGTCAGTAGGGTAAGGCCGTTCACGACCTCGATCTACGGTGGGATTAGCGTGCGCCAAGAAAATAGCAAGTTTGTGAAGGTTAGAGAGTAGAAAAAACATTATTGAATGTTGGGGCGTTACTCCCGCTGAGTTAAGCGAGTTTATGCTCTTTTCATAGCTCAAAAATGATATCGAGATATGGTATTTACCTGTAGGATGGTGGTCAGTATGGTAGATGAAGACCGCAGATGACAAAGAAAGAATCAGAAAAATATGTCATCTCAAAGGAATATTGGGGCGTTACTCCCTCCTCAACGAGCTGGGTTATCGAGCAAAGCTCTTTTTCATCGTTCAAAGGCGATGATGAGAATATCATATTTACCTGTAGGACGACGGTCAGCACGGTGGACAAAGATTGCGGAAGACAAGGAACAAATCAGAAAAATAGTTATCTCAAAGGAATGTTGGGGCGTTACTCCCTCCTCAACGAGCTGGGTTATCGAGCAAAGCTCTTTTTCATCGCATAAAAGCGGTAACAAGAATAAAATATTTACCTGTAAGATGACGGTCAGTATGGTAGACGAAGATTACGACAGCAAAGAAGGAATCAGAAAAAACAATTATCTCAAAGGAATAGCGGGGCGTTACTCCCTCCTCAACGAGCTGGGTTATCGAGCAAAGGCTCTTTTTCATCAGGGTACAAACCAAAGTGCTGGCAAAAAAAATAATGGTGAGGATAAGAAAGACTTACCTCTTTATTGTTCCACTCGCACTTCCTGATATCCTTGCCATCGACGGTAAGGGCCTTGTAGATTTTTTCAACTGTTGCCTACAGCGTGAGTCTGCACCAGCTACACACCAAACAACGTTTCCAGCGAGACGCACGATTTCTTCCTTCCTAGCCTTATCCGCCAAACTGTTGTTGCCAAGCGATCGACCAGAGCGCTTGAGGCCGTCAAGGTGCTTCTCGACCCATTCAATATCCTTGAGGCGAAGCTCGGTCTGAATGATCTCCATGTCACGAAGAGGGTCAACATCGCCCTCTACATGGATGACTTCGGCGTCATCAAAGGCACGGACGACCTGGAAGATACCATCGACAGCGCGAACGTGAGACAAGAATGCATTTCCAAGTCCTGCACCTGTTGATGCACCCTGGAAATATGTCGGTGGACAAATCAGGGTACATGGGTCATGAACGTACCGCAGTAAGACCTGCAATATCAATGCAGGTGAGGAAAGCAGGCACGCGCGAGGCGGGCTTGTACAGATCGCAAAGCCAATCGAAACGCACATCCGGCACGGGGATGCGCGCTTCTTCTGGGTTGATTGTTGCGTATGGAAAGTTGGCAGCCTTTCCCAAATCTAAAATATTTGAGACTCGGACGCGTACCCGCAAAGGGCTATATCCGCACCGGTGTCGGATAGAACATTGAAGAAAGATGACTTTCCAACATTCGGAAGACCTGTACGGATTGTGATTGAGTTTGAATTCGATTCCAGGATGATAAGCGCATACCAACGATACCGATCTTCAAGTTATTGCTTGGACGACCAAGCAATACCTTTTTCTCTGCAGCAGGAGCCTTCTTGGGAGGCATTTTCTTCTTCTTAGCTTGAAGTGTGTACGACGCAGAAAACGGCCGCAGAAAAATAAAACAAGACGCAGTAGATGTATGGGGAAGACGATGCAGGCAGAATTGCCGCCATCGATCTATCATCTCCCAAAAAAAACTAGTCACGAGCTCTGCAAGAAAGAGAAAATTTCGGGGAAGTTGTCCCTTTATGGCACTCTCACGGCCGTAATACGAGGTGACTTTCGGCAGGACATATCCCAATATGGAAGGTATCCTGCCGATGGGTTGATACCTAAGCACTGCGGCATACCACGCTCGCGGCTACCCAGACAACGACAAGCGCATCTTCCTTGTCAAGAACGCGATGAAGAGCGTTGTACTAGCTGTAATCGCCCTGTTGGCGTCGTGGGCACACGCTCAGACATTGACTGTCACAAATATGTATGATTATCAGCCCTTTCTACACTGAGTTTTTGTCTTACTGGACCAGCGGCGGCGCTACAGTCGTGGAAGTCGTTACAACAAACCCTGTTAACGGTCTTGCTACAACACAAACAGTGTGAGTGAATTCGTTGTTCATAATTTAGCCTTGAAGGACATGCTCATAATGTAACAGGCAAACCGTGACTACGAACTCTCTTACCACAAATACCCTCTCAACTACTACCACTGGGCCACTCCAAACTATAGCAACTACTTCGACCACACAGAATCAAGGCCCCGTAGAACAACCCGGAACAACAGTCCTAACACCAGGGGGACCTACCCCATACACTTATACCACAACAAACGCAGCTGGCTCCACAGTCGCCGTGTTAGCAACCTTCACACCTTCAGGGCCTGCCACTGTATTACCAACCCCATCAACCACCGGCACAATCCTCAACTACTCATCGTATGTGGCTTCAGTCGGGACAGGCGCAGCAGCAACGTCTGGTGCAACCCGCCGTGCATTCTCACTCTCCAGCGGTTGGTATGGACTGGTAGCAAGCACGATGCTTGGCATCGGTGGTGGTGCATACTTCGTAATGTTATAAGGCGTACGTTTTATACCAATGTGAGGCGAAGGACAGTCGATAGGACAGTCGTAGATGGACTTTTGATGTGCGATGATCACATCAACTTCATGGCTGCTGTGTCGCCTAGTCACTACATAGACACTCGTTGCATGTTATCTCGGGTTACTTTAGTTACTCTGGAGCCTGTTGTCCCCTTGGTCTATCGACAACAGTACTTATTTAGCTTGATACCACTGTTTGGACCCTTGCAATGTCATTCATTAAATGAAATCCCTGTGTAGTAGTTACTAGTAACCGAAGCGGTGATCAAGCAGTGATGGAGTGACAAAGATCCTTCATATATTATTATCAAGGAACGCGCATCCGTCGGATCGACCTAACATCGAAACCCCCGTGATACCAGCATTGACCACGTTCCATCATAATTTGACTCCGCGATATTCTGCTTAACATCATTTGTGGGCTCGTTGCGGGCTCGTTGTGGACCTTGAAGCAGGTCCTGTGAGGCTGTGATCGTCACTTTTTCCTAACTTTCTCCCATGTTCAATCAGTTGCAATCGCAGCAACAAGTATCACAACTTGAAGTTCAAGCTCAGTCCAATGCAAGTCAGGAAGTACTCGCTGTCGCCTGTGTCATCGATGCCTCCCTAGCACTCGCTACAGAATGGAGTCGTGTACTCACAGCGTACATCCTACCAATTCTCAAGCGTCTGAACGAAGCATACCATGGGCATAATGTAAGTTTTACCCGGATCATTCTTCTGACAAACAACATGCTGAGTATGGACCTGTATGGATGATGTATTTAGTTCCGACTAGCTTTAGTGACGTATGGCGCTGCGGATACATATCCCAGTCCGCTGTTATCACAACGTTTCTTTCTCTCCCCAAATTTTGTGATGAAGGAATTGCGTGAGGATCCCAGGAAATTAGGAATTGGTTCAGTGATCGGTGCAAGGGGGCTATCCGCCCTGGAGGGAATGGTTGCTGCTATCGAGGTGCGTACCACCGTACCTTGACCTACTTCTCACTCTAAGCTATGACGGAAGCTCTTTGACATCTTGCATAACTCGCTTGCCTTGACTGGTCCGAAGGATGGTCGAATGCACGTTTCGCATATAATACATATCGCTGGAAGTCCACCCGATTCTGCGCAAAGGCCCTTATGCAATAACCTTTCGCATCTCGACTCAGTATCATGGGACACGCTACCAGTAGAACTCAAGAAGGTTAGTACCTTCGGATCAACTTTCCACATTAATTTGACCTGCCTCATAGAGAAAAATCAATCTGAGTCTTGTCACACTACAACAAATACAACAGTTCCAGGATGTCCAGTCTGCCGTCAGTTCACATTTATGTCTGGCGCATTGTCATTCAAAACTCTTCTTCCTCAGACCTCAGCACCAGCTCCACAAACAAATCCCTGGTTCACTGTCTACCCACCACATGTACTCATGCTTTCCGGATTTCCCCTACTGTCGCATGTGCAGACCCCAAAACTCAGTGAGTTTTCACGAACCTCCCTCCTATTCCCCCGCTCACAAATCCCAGACGTTGCAAAGCGTTCAAACGAATCTCCTCAAACACCAGATACAAAACGACAGAAGGTCAACGAGAAAAGCTCACCAGCACTTAGCCCGCGTCCTCCTGGAGGAGGTGCCGGTCCACTAGGCCAGAGACCACCTTCTCGGCAGGTTCTCACACCTTCCGTCCCACCTTCCACCCTACCTCAACCACGTTCGCAATTGCTCCAACCTTCTCCCATACCTCCGCACGCAACCACGACATCTGCACCTAGCCCTGCAAAACTCCCTGCAAAACCTGTCGCACACCTACCTTCCAATGCTCCAAACCCTAATGCTCCCCCCACGCAACACACATTCCCCCCCAATGTCAACATGGTAGTCGAGCGCGGAAAAGCTCTCGAAGTCGAGATTAAAGTCATCGAAGCCAAACTCCAGGAAGCACAATCTGCCGGGAACGCTGCAGATGTCGAATCACTTCAGATGGAGCGCGTCGCGAAATATCAGCAGGCGATGAAGATCAAGACTATTTTGTATACAATAGCGAATAGGCCTGCAATGGGTGGTTCGAATTCAGGTGCAGGGGGGTCGGGAGAAACGCCTCAGCCTCAGCCTCAGCCCCAACCGGCGGCGAGCAACATAAAGTCGGAACATGTAGCACCGCTAACGGTGTCTGCGCCCATGGAGGAGCAGAAGCCACCGCTGACAGATCAGCAGGCACTAATACACCTCATGCAGGCGCGTTCGGGAACAACACCATACGCGAATCCAGAGCTCGCAGCGCAAATGCACAAGTTGCTCAACAAGACTGGTATCCCAGGACCAACCTTTTCCGGTTCACCTCAACCCCGACCAGCCCATCCGCCTGCTTCTGGATCTACCTCTCAGCATCAGTCTCAGCCCCAGCCTCAGCCTCAGCCTCAGGCCTCAACCTCGGCAATCTCAGGAGGGCCAAATCAATGGGAAGGCTCTTTCACTATACAGCATGCTGGACAACCAAAGGGGTTTGAAGTGCAGGTGGCCGCCGTTATGAGTTCTAAAGGTCAACCGTACGTCATCGGACAGTTTCTGTGGTCTAGTACTAATTCCTTGTGCAGCCACACGGAAACATGGCCCGAGAGAATGTTCATCGATATACCACAAGGAGGACTGAAGGATCCATCAGATTTAAAGTCGTGGCTTCAAAAACACCACCAATCTGCTGTGATAGCTCAGTTCAGGCCCCAAGCACGAAGCATTGAACAGAAAAAAAATGACGCGGCTCATAATGCGTTGATGAGGATCATGATGGAAGCACGAACAGCGAGTGTTCCGTCCATTCTCGCTTTCTGTCGTTCCTACTGACAGTCTTTGATATTCAGTTTGGCATAGTGGCGTGGCAACTTCCTTCGGGGACTATGTCACAGAATATGATCGTGTTCCCGATGAGTAACAAGCTAGTGGGCGCAGTGTTCCCTGTCACTGGACTTCCGGATCTACCGGGCTCTGGCAAAGTTGACGGCCCAAAACCGCAACCGCAACAACTACAACAACCACAACTGCCACTGCAACAACTACAACAACCACAATCACAACCCCCAGGCGTCTTCACCCCTGAGATGCTGACGCGACTTCAGGGCCTTGACCCGCAGCAGCAAAGGCGCTTCATGCAACAACTCGCACTCCAGCAGAAAATCCGGCAGCGGCAACGAGAACTCCAGCAGCACCAACAACTACAGGCAGGGGCAATGCAGCAGGAGGTACAGGCACCAGCACCTGGTGTGGGAATGCAGAATATGAGTCCATTTTCGAATGGATCGAATATGCCAATGAATATGTTTGTAAGTTATTATATGGTACACTTACGTGAGATATATTGATAATTCGACATGAACAGGGCGGTGGTGGGGTACCGCAGAGGCAAATCAACGGGGGCATGCAGCTTGGCGGCGTGGGGTCCACAGTGAATAGTGAGATGATGCAGTCGTTTATGCAACGGAGTGCGAATGGACAAGGGATGAACCCTCGTGATTGATGAGGTCGTCCTAATTTCTTTATTGGCTTTGGAGCCTGGTTCTTCAAGCCATTGCTTGTCCCTGGAGAACAAAAATGATGGATATATTGTGATGTAAGCGATGTCAAGCATGGTTTCAGACTTTTACATTGATTGTTATGTTCTACTATACATCATCACAAGCACTTGCATGCTATCTTGTACACACTCCAAGAACTTCACTGTTTTGTCGCATTGTAATTATGGTATAGGAATTCTGCATTTTATTAGGATTGCGTTGTATTGAATTTACCGTCTGTGCCCTGAATCTTTTCGTGGTCGGCAAGATTAGCCTGAGTTTCATAGACAGTGATGACTGGATCGCTCTTGCGCTGAGAGAATGAACGAGTCTTGAGAATCGAAAACAGTGGTTTAAGAACTGGCATACCTCAGTCCAATGACCAAGGAGACCAACATAATAAATCCTTGTCGTGTCCGCACCCTGCGAGGCAGGGAAAAATAACGTCAGGGAGGAAACGTTGTTGAACTTTGCCGTCCTGGAGGGTGAATGTTAATATGACTCTCCTGGAGAGACGGATCAAACGTACTTGAGAGCGTACTCCGCGACATTCCTGTCCTGAGGGATGTCGAATTCTTGAACAGGCACCTTGTCAGAAACGTCGTTGAAATCCATGCTGGGCTGATTGGAAAACTACATGTGGGACGTGAATAACATGTTGTTAATTAGGGATTTAGACCAACCAGAGCGACTTTTGTGGGGGTCTGGTCGCCCGGGCCCGTCTTCAATAATAAAGACCGAAGCTTGATGGATCCGGTAAAGGGGATACGTAGAATTCTCAATAGAATGTTATTTGAGCTGCATAATGTTAAGATCTCGATTCAGCGAGACCTTACAGCTGATCGTCGGCATCCGACTCCAAAAACTAGAAATGATTTCAACATGATCAATGCCCGAACACAAGCACATGTATGAGAGGCATGGCATACAGCTTCCTCGTTGTTCCTCTGATCCCAGGGTTTAACAGCGACTGAGCCTTCCCTTGTGGCGTTGAGTGCGACGACGTTGGCGCGGTCGATGTGCGGGAACAGGTTATCATTTGGACCAAGGTCGCTGGTCCCATGATCATGTTCATGGTCGTTGTCGTTACTCTCGTGGCTACAGTGTCCGTCGTGATGATGGTGTGGCATGAGGAAACAATATCTCAGACAAAGCGGTCATCGATCATATCCTACTCCAAATTGGCTACGTAAGCCAATCAAACAGACCCAAACAATGCTGCTAGACTTCGCTTTCTTTTGTCCATTTTCTTTCTCATCCTCCTGACGCAGGTATATGAGCACCTGGTAAGTTTTCTAGTTCATCCCTTTTTTCATGATGCTACTAGTAATTTGCGTTCGATTCACTCGTCTTACACCAAAAGGTTAGCTCGCCCGCCAGCCCTGAGGCGAGTGAGCTGAGACAACCTCTGCAGCCTCTGATTTTTTATCCTCTTTCATTGAGAAGAAATTTGTGGATACTGACCTTCCTTCCATTCACAGGTTTTTTGTAAAAATTTCTGGCGTATCTGTAGATTGTAAGACTGCGAAACGTTTATTTATTGTTGTACAACGTACCAATACACATCTTCCCTTTGATCAGTCATCGATCATCTGCTACTTTGAATCCGACGTCCATGACTGAGAATTCACAATCATCTACGCCTACGCAGGATAGTGGCACATCTACACCAGGCTCCAGTAGTGCGGGAGATGCTCCCGCGACTGAGTTTAAGGTGTATAAGCCTCCAAACTCACCAACCACCAGCGCTCCTCGTAGGTTACCACGTTTTGAAAATGTTGCCTCGTAACTAATCGTAAGTTCTATAGTAGAAGAACTGCCAGACTCCTACTTCACCCCATCTCCTGCCGACCTGAAGGCTGCCCAAGCAACATTAAGCGCCCGGACACGATCACTAGTTGATGCACCGCTACAAGTACGAGCTCAGCGAGAGGCAGCAGAGAAGTCAAAGAGAGATCGATGGCCAAATGTGTGTCTCTTCAGTCCCGAGTCAGTTGAGTTAGGGCTGAATACATGTAGACAACGATACGTGTCAGGTTCTCTGATCGAACACAGCTGGAGAAGATTTTTCCCTCTACCGACAAAATTCGCTCCGTGTACGCATTTGTGCGCTCGTCCCTCCGAGATGATGTAAAGCCTATCAAGTTTATCCTATGTTCGTGTGCTAGCAGCTTCCAATGGGTCGGGCTTTGACATCATTTGTAGATCAATCTCCTCCCAAGCGCGACTTGAAGGTATCAGACCCAAATGTCCGTGATTTAAGCTTGGCACAACTGCAGCTTGCCCCATCATCAGTCCTCCTTCTGCGTTTCGAAGACGAATCTTTGAATGGTAGGTCCATTCGCGGTGAAATCATGCATCGCTCCTCACGAAGCTCACAGGCACGAATGTCCCCGCACCCCTATTGCCATCCATTGCAGCAAGCGCCATCGAGCTACCGAAACCCCCCAGTGCTGAAGCCGAACCTCGCAAGGTAGAGAAGTCTGCTACACCTCCCACGACAACGTCGAGCACAAGTACCGGGAAAAAGATACCCAAATGGTTGAAGGCAGGTCTAAGTACGCTGCTTGCTTTGTTGGCTTCCCGTTTTTCATATTCATTCCCAGGAAAGTGAAAAGGAAGATCAACACATGTATTATCTTGGGTCTCAATTCGAGGTCCACCTGTATAGTTGCCAGCTTCTACCATAGATCATCGCATGAAAGAGAAACAAGTGTAATTTACCTCAATACACAGGAAATGTTGGATCTATCTCATTCGACCATGCACGTAAGCCTCCGATAACATCTTTTACAATCAGATTGGAATCGATTGCCCTGATGGCGTCCGCAGCGATTTGAGAATCGTTGCCTAATCTGCATAGAACAAACACCCGACACGACTTGTCTGAGGGAAGATGAGGCGCTGGGTTAGCCAACAGGATATTGAGCGGGACACCTGAACACTAATAAGACGACTGTGCCTCTAGCCCGGAAATCACTTACTTGTAGACCTCGGAAGACGACATATACCAAACTCAGTTCTTGGCCGCACATCGATGATGGTATGATTTATGTTTGATTCGAAGATGGATTTCAGTTCTTTGACGTATATCCGCGATTCAGGCTCGCCAGCTTTGAGACCACGCTCTAACCAATTTGGCCGTGCGCCACCACAAAATGCCACATAATCGGTTTCTTCGATGGTGCCAACTTTCTGGCCCTCGATCCCACACGCAGCGCAGGTAGGCTTCCTTGATCTGAGCTTCACGGTGCGAAACGGAGGGACAGATAGAGCGCTGAAAAGAAGTAGAGACGCTCTACCATCTTGGCAATCTTTCAGAAGCTATAAGCCCTGCAACAGCTAGTACAACTCACCGTGGAGACCAGTGATGAGCTTTATCGCTTCAAGTGCCTGTAGATTTCCGATGATCCCTGTCACAGCGCCTAGTATACCCGTCTCCTCACACGATCCTGCCATTTCTGGCGCAGGTGGCTTTGGAAATATGCAGCGATAGCAGGGGCCATCGTCGCCTAGATTGTATATGCAAAGCTGGCCATCGAATTTCTGGGCAGCTCCACTGACGAGAGGCTTTTTGAGCCTTACGGCGCTATCAGAAAGGAGGTAGCGTGTGGGAGCATTGTCTGTGCAGTCGAGGATCACATCGTACGGTGCGAGAATAGAAAGCGCGTTGGATGAATCGAGAGCAGTGGGACATACGTCAATATTGACGCGTGGGTTCAGAGCAGCGATGGCTTGGGCTGCAGACACAGCTTTCGGGTTGCCGATCGTTTTATCCGTATGAAGTATCTGGCGTTGGAGATTGGACAGTTCGACCGTGTCATGGTCGATTATGCCTAGGCGACCTATCTAGCAAACGTGAGTCCTCCGGGTTGCATGGTTTTTTTGAGAAACGGGCCTACGTACCTACACCGGCTGCAGCGAGATATTGTAATGCGGGGCAACCAAGTCCCCCTGCTCCGACAACCACTACAGATGAATTCTGTAGTTTTAGCTGACCTGTTGGGTGGTTTGCGTGAGCGGTTGCAGATGGATCCGGATTTTGGCCCACCTTCCAAGCCGAAGCCCTCAAGTATCATCTGTCTGCCATACCTTTGGTAATCATCTGGACGCGACAGTCGTGAAAGATCGTTGTCGACCATTTCCATATGGTGCTTTTAAAGACTTGGCACTAAGTATTATCGATGTTAAATTGGCTGATAGTGATCTCAAGATGGATTACATAATTAAAAGTTCCCAGGACAGTCCGCTTCAAGGAACGGTTGACGGCATCACCGACCTACCTCAACCACGACCCACCTTCTTTCTCTCCCTTTCCACATTGTCTTCATCACTTGATGTTGCTGCGGGTCTTCCCTTCAATGTCTTGTTCTCCGTCTCTCATCATGTTTTGTCCCATCTCCTTGTGGCTCTTCGTGTTGTCTTTCAGTTTACAGTCGTTCTTGCTTGCTACTGTCTTTTGGTCTTGTTGTCATTCCGTTTGTGGTAGACTTCATGTTACCTTGTATAATTTGATGGCTCTACATGCAATATATGATCTTGTTCGTTCCTGCTGTGTGGCCTACAAGCATCTTTGTATTTTCGAAGCTTCCATGCACCCTAACCCTATTCAACTTAACTTAGGGTTAGCTAGTTTTGGTGCGTTTCACTGCAGTTGTTGACTTGGCTCGAGTCGTTCAGCGCGCTTGTTCATTGCATGAGGGTGTGCGAGGCGATCGCAAATATTGTCTGTGGTCTTTTTTTCAATGCATACACCCAGTACTTCACTCATCCTCTTTCAGATTCATCCCCACCTTTCAGCGCTCACTCGTCTTCCACGTGCATGATCTGCAGGCCGGACGTATGATCTGAGCAAGCCTGAGCCTATCAAGCGAGCCGCAGCTGCAGGACGTTGATAGCTGTGATTATTGTCATCAAGGTATAGATTCAGGGTACCCAACACTCAAGTTAAAGCAAGCTTGCAGTTACGTACGAAAACGGCTTAAACGTTGTGGACCTGGTAAAGTGCGTGCATGGATGATTCGCAAGGGGATAAAGGCGCCTCAGGTAGCCGGTATTATTCAGGCCCGTTGAAGTTGGACGAGCTTTACAAGCATAGAAACATGTCTCCTTCATTTTTCTTTGCTTGGAAATAAGGGCGCAGGTTGGAGGGTAGGTGCGGTAGCCTCGTAGGCAGCGAGAGACTACAGGTCGGGTGTGGTGGGCAGCAGTAGACGCGCGATGGGGTGGGCGCGATGGCAAGGTGTTTAACCTTATATGTGAGCAGAAAATACCTTACCGAGCGGTAGTCACCTCATGATGTTCAAGAGGCCAGAATGATCACTGTATTTTTTGGTGTCAATATAGAAAACTATAATACGAGAGTCGATGACAAACGATCGATAAGGATCTATTATAGCAACACAGCTAGCAACCGTACAACAAGTACAGCAAAGATACATGAGGGGGTGAGCTCGCCTAGGTGATCCTCTTCATTCCCAAGTGGACTTCGCACATGTGGCGCCACATACAGTCGCGCCGCATAGAACGTACTGCCGAGTTCGAACGCTTTTTATAATCACAATGGTCCCAGCGGCACTCTATCTGCGCGTGTGGGGGACCGGCATTTAAGTGAGTTTTACAGTGCGCTTTTAGTGCCTCTAATGTTCCCCAGAATCCGCAGATTTGGGATGCGTCGTCGTGTAGCCATTTGCAAGGCAAGAGGGGAGACGAGGAATGGCCATGATGTGGGAGGAAATATGAATGGTTGGTGGGTGAATGTTCTGAGAGGTGATGTATATTTTCACCGCGAGGCTGCGATGAAAAGCGATATTCTGCAGCCAGATGCGGAGGTATAGTAGGTGAGAGTAGCCCGCTTGAAGGCGGGATGGCGTAAGCCTGCCACTGATACGACGGCTCGTTAAATATGGTGGAATCGGTGGAATTCAAATGGTGAACTCGGACATCGGGCCACCTGCGTATAATGATAATTATGAGAAAATTAAATCATAGGGCGCGAAGGACATACATCTGTAACGTGCTGCATGACGCAGGGTCGTGATGCCGGGCGCTGTGAAGGGTCACTGGGTGACTTTGCCAGGAGCCATAATTCGAGACACGTGTAAGCGTATTGGTGGTAGTTGGCGGAAAGTTAGTGGATGGACTGGCAGGGGCGCAACAAACATGGACATCAAGGACATTTCGATTGATTGGCAGGAGCCGTCGGTCTAGCATGGTTTCACGGTCGAAGGACAAGAGCAAGCACAGGGTATACAGTAGGGCCTAAACCTGAGACGCTAACTGTTGCGAGAATTGATTAAGATAGACCCACAGTTTTATATGCCCATCCGAAGGACAGCAGGCAGTGTGCACATGAAGCTTGGCAAGCAGAACCAATGACGCCACACCACTGTGAGTACTTACATGGTCGAATCCCAAAAAAACTGATCGGCGGCATGATGAGAATAGGCTATGCAGTTTCTGTAATGGCTACCACATGGCTCGAAGGTGAACACAATTTAGGTAAGTGCAACAAGCAATTTTGCGATGGGGAGCGAGGGTGGAGGCGAGATCTGGGAGATCCCAGTCAATCTCGGGGAAATCTTGTAAATTGTTTCCATCGGATCTAGTTGGATTGATAAGCAGTGGTAACGAGGCTTGTCGCAACCAAGAACTTCTCTCATTAAGAGGACATGCACTTGTAGTGACTAGCGGAGTAGCGGAGAGTACAAATAAAGTGTTGGTATAAACCGAATAGAATATTTGCGCCCACACACGGATTCCAAGAATTAGGACTCAGACAAAAAAGAAGGGCCACATCATGTAAATATTACTTATGTAGAACTGAAATTTTACTTCATGAGCCTCGTGTCCTTGCTTGCATGTAATTGACAAATAGTACAAAAGTTATAATTGGGATCTTTATCCGCCGACATGTAAAAAGAACACCCAGAATCCTGGCATCCTTCCCACCGTGCTTTCTCTGGCCTTCCTTGCACGTAATTGACACCAACTCAGACACCAAAATCGTCCTTCCTCCCACGTAAGTGACATGAAGAGCATCTAAAACATATATGGTTTTGGGGTGTTCTTCCTGTCAATTACGTGCAAGGAAGGACATACCAGTGCTCACCTTGACCTTATTATGTTTCATACAGGGTGGCAAGAGTCCAATACTATAAGATCTGATATGTATTCATCAAGGGTATCCTTTCAGCCGTAATGGATGTCACAATAAGTCAGACACCTGCTGCCATCAGCCAAATCACTAGTGATTGATTCTTAGTACGTCAGTCTTGTGATTATTATTCAAATATTGACCAAACAGGATTGCTATGTGCGGTCACAGTGGAGCTTAACTATGAATCAGACAGTTGGGTTGTGAGCCAAACAATTTGCGCTGCTTGGTCCTAGACTGGTGCCAACCGTACCAAGTGGTTGTTCAGTCTTACGTTTTCGAGCAGCTTCATCAATCATCTTCGGAATACAGCTTGGAACGGTGATGATAACATTCATGGCTGAAGCTGAAACGAGTGACTCTATCACCGCGCATCATACCCGCCGACTACTACAATCCATTTCGGTCACAGAGGGTCCCTCACCATGGCTCCTACTGCGGGCTGGCAGCACCTCTGTCCCCTGCTCTTCTCTCAATGTCATCGCAAAGTATAATGAGTGCTTGTCAAACCAGTCGCTTTTGTCATTTGGTGAAGAAATCGACACGGAGAGTATTGCGAAGAGCCGCGCCAAAAAATTACATCTGGGGAAACACCAGGGACTCGTTGACAAATGATAGATGTTAAATTACGACCCAGACCGTAGGATGGAACGAGACAACTCTAGTTGGGTCATATGCATCACTATTGAGCGATGATGATTGTCTCCGGAGACGACGTACGAACATGAATTAAAGGACCATAGTTTAGACTGTGACGTTGAATGCTTTTGAGGCCGAAAAGAAAATGGCTCAAGCTCAAGGATGGGTGGACTCTTGTCTGATGACTCCGACTATTGAGCGCAGAGGCGAACGTTGTAAGCGAATTTGCAATTTCAGTGATGATGGTCCTGACCAAGCCCTGAACGCGCCAGCGCCAACTTGGCGCGGCACTTTGTAACTTGGTTGTTTAGTAACTACTCAATTTACGCTTTTGAGCCTCATCTGCTGTGTAATTGGTATCAACTGTGAATTGCACCTTACCTTCGATGGATGAAGCTGGAACGAGTAACATATTCTATGTCCCGACACCCAGTCTCCCGAGCATTACACCTCCCGACTCATATGATCGTTTTCGGTCTCAGTCTGTCCCTCTCATCATAGACAACGGCTCCTCAAACCTCCGTTTTGGCTTCAGCACGTCCGCCTCTCCCCAATCTTCTCCCAATGTCATCGCCAAGTACAAGGAGCGCAAGTTCAACCAATCGTTGTTACTGTTTGGTGACGCAATTGATACGGAGAGTGGTGCCAAGAGCCAGGGCAAGACACCTTGGGAAGGTGATGTGTTGTTGAATTTCGATGCAATGGTGGGTTTCCTACATTGCTGATCTGTGTGGGTAGCGCTGAGGATAGGTGAGTTAGGAACACGCGTTGGACTACGCATGTGTGAGGTTGGGAATCGACGCAGAGGGCATCGACCACCCGGTGCTCATGACAGAAAGACTCTGCTCGCCCCTGCATTCAAGAGCATGTACGTCCTTAAGCTCCTCGTGTTGACCGTCTCACCGAACCAAATGCATAGTGACCTCCGAGCTCATGTTTGAGCAATATTCGGTCCCTTCACTCACTTACTGCGTCGACTCTGTGATGTCGTTTTATCATAATAACAAGCCCATATCCGGCAGCACATTCAATGCTGACGGCCTTGTCGTTTCATTCAACACGGCATCCACATCTGTTATCCCCATTCTCAATGGGAAAGGCGTGCTCAGTCATGCAAAACGGTCCGTATTCCTTGAGCCGAGGAAACCGTGTGTTGATCGTACTTGGCAGAATACCGTGGGGTACACAACAATCGACGGAGTACCTCCTGAAGCTCATCCAGCTGAAATACTCTAGCTTCCCGACGCGTGTGACGTCTGTACAAGCAAGCGTACGTCCATATGCTAGCTAAATAGTTCCTTAGTTATTAACATCCTGCAGTGGATGTTGCACAATTTCTGCTCCTTCGCTACTGATTACCCTGCTGTCCTCCGTTCTCTCAAAATCCCCGCAAACATGCGCGCTGCAGAGCGCATCATCCAGTTCCCATTTGCAATCCCTGTCATTGAAGAAAAGACCGAAGAGGAACTCACGAGGATAGCAGAGAAACGAAAAGAACAAGGAAAGAAACTTCAAGAGTTGGCTGCAAAGAGCCGGATGGAGAAGGTGTGTCCCTTGTTCTTGCGACGAAAAATAAGGGTTTGATCAAGCTAATGATTTTTCAGTTGGCGAAGAAGGAGACCGATCTACAGTACCTCACGAGTTTGAAGGAAGGCAAGAGCGAAAACAAGCGCGAGTGGATGGTACGACGAACGTAGCACCTCACCAGGCATGTTGCTTAATTTCCCTACAGCACGTTCTTCAAGTCGAGGGTTTTGATGATGATGCTGCCCTCGATGAAACCATCAGGAAACTCGAGGTCGACGTTAAACGCGCGCGCAAGAAGGACCCTGACGGGCAAGACGATGTCGTTGTGAGCATCGTGCATCGTTGCTAATTACTCCCTTTTGACTCGTGGCTGTAGGAGGAACCTTCGTTCCCTCTCATCGATGTTCCGGATGCGGACGTAAGTCTTGCGTTAATCCAAAGTGATATGCATGGTTGAGTTTCCCGTTCCACAGCTCGATGAAGAAGGGATAAAAGAAAAAAAGAAGCAGAAACTTATGAAAGCCGGTTTTGACGCAAGAGCGCGTGCGAGACGAGAGAAGGAGAAAGAACGAGAGGAGAAGGAAGCTGAAGAGAGACGAGAGGAGGGAGAGCGGGGGAATAACTTTGATGATTGGGCAGCTAGACTGCGCCGTGAGCAAGAGGTGTGGTACTTGCCATCTGCTCGCTTAGATGCTCTTGCTGACCTTTTTGAGCAATAGACTATCATGAACAAGATCAAGGAGCGGGGACGTCGGAAGGCTGCATTGTCTGATCGGAAAAGTGCAGCCGCGCAAGCTAGGATGAAGAACATTGCTTCTTTAGCAGCTGATGAACGCGTTTCGAAGAAGAAAAGGAAAGCAGGTGCAGGCAAGTTTCGCAATCCTTCTAATTATTTTTTTGTTCTCAACACTTGCAATTCAGAGGACATGTTCGGAGCGGATGACGAGGACTGGCAGATTTATCGCAAACTCGTTCGTCGTACTTGCTTCCTAAGCGAATCATTCAATCTGACATCATACAACAGAATGCTGCAGCTGTATCGTCAGATGAGGAGGAGGAATTTAACCAACTTCGGATCATCGAGAGCAAGCTCCTCATGTATGACCCGACATTCACGGCCCAACACACGCATGCATCCATAACATCTCAGCGATCGGCACTTATATCTGCCTTCAGACCACAGTATGAAGAGGGAGACATCGAAGGTTGTAACGATTCTCTTTTCAACGAATGAATGCTCACAGGAACCAATAACAGGAAGCGCACGGATACATTTGAATACGGAACGATGGCGCGTGTGCGAAACATACTTTTCACCGGGAATGGCTGGCGTTGACTCTGCTGGCCTCGGTGAAGTTCTTCAAAGCATCCTGGCAAGGTTCACAGAAGCTGAGAAAGCCAGGCTTGTGAAGGTCTGTTTTGTGTTTCTCAGACCTTCCAGTTCCAACTCATGCAAAACACAGAATGTATTCATTACCGGCGGACCATCGCAGTTTCCTGGTCTTCAAGAAAGACTTTATGGGACGCTTCGTCCGATTTTGCCGCCTGAGATGCATTTGGGTGATATCGTGCGTGCAGCAGATCCATCGCTTGATGCTTGGAAGGGTATGGCATCCTTTGCCAACACGGATGAGTTCCATCAAGTGGGTGTGACAGCAGAAGAGTATCAGGAGTGGGGACCGGAGAGGATTAAGAGGTGGTGGGGAGGGAACTGTAACTCAGCAGTTTGATAGCGTCGTTTATCTCATTCTGGTGATACAGTGTCATGATGTCCACCTTTCTCTCAAGAGAATCAAGTTGCGCAATGATATTGCAATCGGATGCGTCTCATGTAGACCGTATCATAACATTGCACGACCAGGAATGCTCTGAATGGCTATCCGAGATGAATGATCGATCGATCAATCGTCACGCAGATTACAAACCAACTGCTCATTTTCTCCAGGAGACGGGCCGCCGGGCGAGCGATCTGCAATGGGATGTGGGCAGGTTGTTCGTTGTCATTGCGAAAACTTGCAGAGAGAAATTGAAGATTGGAGAGAGAATGGTTTCAATGGATTGCATGTACCATGCAGTACTTATACTCTATAATATATAGATAGACTGTCAATGAAACGAGCGGATGTGGTCCTTTCGAAGCGGCAACATTGGGAGCTTAAAACATGCAAATAATGGTGTCTCTATCTCCAATCTCACTTGAGGAGAGCGTAATTTTTTAGGGATTGCTGGGTCGTAGTGCTATCAGAGATCAAAAGACTATGCGCCCTCCGACTTGGAGTCCGTCGACCAAGGGGAACGCAACTGCAGAAATAATGGAAGTGGAATTAGTGGCCTACGGGCGTCGCGATCTGATACCCAAGGCTGTTGCCCTACTTGTGCTCCCGGTCCTGGACGCAAGCATGACAGCGAACCAGGTCTACATGCGGCAGGGATGCCATAATTGCAGGTCCTCACGACATGTAGTGGGGAAAACTCGGTAGTCATGCTACCCGTGCTAACCCGGCGGGTTCAACAGATTAACCAGAG